TATATATATATATATATATATATACAAAAAAAAAAAAGGTTGGGTTCATAGTGCTCAGCATTAAAGGTTAGAACCGAATAATGTGAGCAGTTACTGGTAATTTGTAATCATCTACCACTGATCACTTCAGTTGCCTGAAGGCTGACAGATAAAATTGAATTCTTACTTTATGTTAATGCCAATTTACAGAAACTTCACTGGCTTTCATGTGAAGGGGGAGTTTTGTGTACAGCTTAGGTGCAAGAGTCTGATAATAAAACTGGATGGTACATACATATTGTAATAATTCTTTCACCAAAAGAGGTCATATAAGGGAGTAAAAATAAGCTCTAATATACTGAGACCATATTATTGAGAATGTGAAACCACAAATTATCACAGACCTAAAGGTAGGATGACTCAGGGGGGAGCTGGCATGGTTTACCACATACCTAACAAAATATAATACATGCTGTATCTTTTTTTATTAGATTTTTTGGGAAATTATACTGTGGAAAGGTGAATTCTGGGTATAGCTCTGACAGGATGAAATTTGTGTTCTCATAGAATAGAGGAAAAAAGGGAGAGAAAAAGCAGAATTAAAATTCTGTGAGTGAATCTGTTGCAAGTTTAGCAAGACCCACAAGAATCTAGGCCAGTACCTTGATGTCTTTAGTTTTCCGTTTGGAATTTGAGGAACTAAAATGGAGATATCTCATTTTAATACAAAACAGAACCAAGAAGTTATTTAAAGCAGGATGCTAAGATAACATTTAGAAAGAGAAAAAGAAAAGAAGCTAAATCTAGTTGAACTAGTGAAGTCTTCACGAGGACATAACATTTGAAGTCAGAGTTTGAAGTCTGACTAGAAGAAAATAGTGAAGCTCCAGACTAAAGAACTGTCTCAACAAACGTGGAAAAAAGAAGGCAAGGTGTTGACAATAGTAGAATGAGACTAAAACAAATGGGTAAACTAAGGAAATTGTTAGCTAAGTAGTAAGATAACATGTTGGATGAGCTTATCAGGGTCAATGTGTATTAGCACTTAGTGCACCTAAATGTTCTGAAGAGAAAACACACTATGAACTGGTTTAGGAAGATTATGATAACAGGGTGAATTTCAATTAGGCAGAGGTGGAAGTCAGGGAGAGGATCTTTTATGATAATATAGAACAACGAGATACAAAAGGATGACTAGCGGCGGTGTGTGTTGTGAACAGGAGAGGGAAAATGTTTGTGCATGTGTGAGCGAGAGAGAGATGTGTGGAGAAAGAATAAATGTGTGGTGGAGCAAGCATTAGGATTGTAGTTTGAGGCAAATCAGAGAGATGCATGTTGATTAAGGTGTTTCCTAGCCATCCTTTGCGGGAAAAATTGCTAAGAGGTAATGACTAGAAGCACATAAAAGAAAATACTCCTTAAGAGTAATTATTGGATTCTGTAAAATGTTTTTCTGATAGCTATAATGCTAATTCATTCACTGTACATGCTGTTGGGCAAGTCTGTATTTTAATCTGAATTTATCTTTCTTCGAATTGAACTAAGATACCACCTTGTTTTTCTTGATGGATAATAGAAATGTCATAGTCTTCATGTGTGTTCTACTTCTTGTAACCTGATGAAGAAAGCAAAGATTTTCATGGTACCTCTATCTTTCTCACACTTCCATACATGCATCTTTGTACACCTATCCCTTTATTTATTTACATTTATACCTTTTTTTCCTGTCAATTCCAGACTAGCACTACAACTCTTTTGAACCCTTCTAAACACACTGATTGATACTGTTTGATGTGAACAGGAATATTCCTTCCTCTGGATGTTTAGCAAATGACAAGAATCAGAATGTCCCTGAGAGTAGAATATATAAAAGTGTATATATCTTATTGAGGTAGAGCTGCAGGATTATAGGTTCTTCAATGAAATAATAAGTTTTTATTCAAGAATTCTTTACTAAAGTTAAAATCACTCAAAGAGAGGAATTGTGTTGGTCTTGAGAATAAGCCAGAGAACCAGAAGAGCCTAGTCCTTGAATTTATTTATCATCTAGAGGCTATAGCCTCGGAAGGAAGGCAGGCAGCTCTGAATGACTTTTTAAAAAAAAGAACAAGTTTTATAATAGAGGTCCAGAAGACCAACGAAATATTTTTGAGAACAGGTTGTCTGTAGAAATAATCTTATAAATCACAACATACAGAATCACAAAATATAGAATTAATTGTACTGAAGCATTTAGGAATGCATGGCAATATACATCTTTTTAATCTCACAGAATTTAAAGCTATATTAAAGACATTGCACAACAGAATATCTAAGTGCAAACTCATAGGTTAATCTAAAAGACTATTTTTATTTCAGATTACATAATATGAACAATTAAACTCACAGTGTATAATTTTGATGCTGTGACTGGGGAATTTTTAATAGCTAAGTAACCTGTTTTTAGAATAGCAACTGATTTAAACTTTTGGGTCCCTGTTTCAATATATTCTCAGAGTTACACTATCAATAACTTACCTTTAAATATCAAGTAAGGAGAGGTATCTGAATTAAGACATTTATTATAAATCTAATACATACGTCACCTTTCATTTAAATCTGCATGTATTGACTACCTGTGATTTAAAATTTAATAAACTATTTCATCCTAATAATGAACAACAGGAATTTGCAATACATGATATTTAATAATGTACTAATGTTTATCTTTATACTTTAATAATGAATTAGAAAAAGAATAAACAAAGGGATCAGAAAAGAGAAAAATGTTTAGCTTTTGTCAGAAATACAATATAACTATTCATCATAGAGGAATACTTTTTAATCTGATTTTGTCAAATAGATTTACTCAATAAAAAGAGAACAAAATGTCAAAGTTCTATTTAGTTCCATAATAAAAAAGATATTCGGGCCTGCAAAAGCTTATATTTGTGACACTGATTTCTATATGACTTAGAGGTATAGGATCTCACCCTTCAGATGTGTGTTACCATAGCACACCCAAAAGCAAGTCACTCACAGTCCCCCAGCATAGTCTATTGGGGACCCTCCACCTCTGCTATCTTTAATTCTATTTCAGTTATATTTCTAGGGTTTGTTATGGGGTTGGTTTTGTCTGGCCTTTGTATTGTTTCTCTATATTCCAAATATAAGTAAAACCATCCAGGAGTTGTCTCTCTCCGTCTGATGTATTATGCTCAAAATTATGCCCTCCAGAACCATCCATGTTGTTGCAAATGGCAAGAGTTGATTCTCATTTTCATTTTTCTTGAGGTATTTTTTAGTTTTCTTTGATTTTTCTCATTAACCCAATAGTCATTCAGTAGTATGTTGTTCAGTCCTCACATATTAGAGGTTTTTCTGATTTTTCTTTTGTGGGTGTTGTCTAGTTTGATGCCATTGCAATCCACGAATATACTTGATATACTTTCAAGCTTCATGAATGACACTTGTTTCATGACCAATGTGTAGTCTATCTGTTAGGGGGAAAGGATGTCCTAAAGCTAATTCCATACAGGCTTTGTGGACTCCACTCCCCACTCCAGACCAAAGCCAAAGACACTGGGAACTCCAAACCCCATCACCACCAAAGGGAAGGTGGCTGGGACCTGAGGGTGGGTTTAAGCAGCCAGGTTTGGTAAAACTGGACATGTGGGCTTTGGAGAGGCTCCCCCATTTTGGCTCACTGCCAGCTGGCAGTGTTTGGCCAGCTCTGAGAGTGCCTTTGGGTTTCCAGGTCGGCGGCGGATCGGGTAGGACACATTAAAGACTTTATTTCCCTATTTTCTCCCTGAGTTGTACATTTGCTCAATTCCCTTTCCCTTGTAAATAAACCTTTTATTAACCTTTTGTGTGTGCCTGTAGTGGAGTATTAATAAGTCCCTTTTAAGCGCGTGGGTGAGGACCCACAGCCAGGCAACCCATTTTATATCAGGGCTGCTTCGTAAGATATCCTGGAGAATATCCCATGAGCACTCGAAAAAAGTGGTTATTCAAATTTTGGGGAGCATAGTGCCTTATATATGTCTACTAAACCCCTATGGTCTAATTCTTTGTTTAAGGTTATTGTATCCTTGTTTTCTCTCTGTCTTGCCTGATCTCTCCATTGGTAAAAGTGGAGTGTTGAAGTCACCCATTTTGATGCACCTTCATTTCATGAATTATATATTTGCAAACATAGATGTCACTACCTTTTTTGGGGTCCTATTTGTTTGTAGGATTCTTTTCTAACTCTTACTTTGAGATTATGAAATGCAGACTTTTTAAATGACTTACTAACCCTTTTAAATATTTCTATGAGTTTATTGTGTATACAGAACAAATTTCCATATTCCCTAACACCTCTCCTTCTTTATGTGCATGTCTTTTTTTACTAGACAGCACTAAGGAATCCAGTATTTAATTTCACCTAGGGACAAATCAATTATTACATCATTTTTAAAACATAGAATGAGACCTTTAAGCCATTAGAAGGTTCAAAATGTCACTAACCATTTTTTTAAGCAAACTTCTTTTAAAGTCCTCCCTCAAACAACCTTTGTAACTGTAAAATAAAGGATCAGAAAAAAGCCATTTATAATACTAAATCACCATTAGCCCAAAATGAACCTATTCAGAATTTGAAGTGGAAAATAGACAATGACTCACAAAGATCAAGACCACCAAAACCTCTGATCTTGACTCAAATTTATGGTTAATTCAGATTAAAGCATCTTTTCCTAGACTGTCTTCTCTAGTCCATATTTTCTACTATTCAAATAGTCTCATACTTGGTGAAATTTCAAAGTTATTTTATTTCAGTGTGTGCATGTGTATGTGCATATAAAATGTTTTAAACAACCAAAATATCTGTGTGTGTGGAATGTGTGTGTGTGGGATTTGTATGAATGAGGTGAGGTTGTGACATTGACCTTCCTCAAGCATTCCATAATGCTTTAGTTCAAGTTCATAGAATATATCCAACAGTTGTTGCATATTTACCTACCTTTTTATCTACTTTACCTACCTTTTTATCTCTGTAGATCTTCATAAACAATGAATGGCATAATTCAGTGAGTGGCAAGAAATTTCCAGTCTTTAATCCTGCAACTGAGGAGAAACTCTGTGAGGTAGAAGAAGGAGATAAGGTAAGTTTCCTAATGAATTCCATTTTATACCAGGTTTCTTTGTTTCTTACCATTCTGAGAAACTAAATACCACTCCAAGTACAAACAGACATGCCATGAACATGTGGTTTCTGGGACCATTTGGGAACTTTTTTGGTACAAAAAGAATGCTTAGCAGTCATATACTAAGGAACTGGCCATGCTTCTGAGTATTATAGTGATTTTTTTCATATTATTTTTCCTTGCTTGTTTTTCCACTGAAATAGTGTCTAAATTTATTTTTCAAGCTGCATATGAAGTTATTGGTCATAGGTTTAAAAAACAGAGAAATTAGTTTCTCATATAAAATTGTTATTTTGTCAAATTATAAAATGAAATGAAAAGTTAATATAGGACTTTTAGAATAATATATTACCTAAGTACTTCATTAAAAATCATTGAATGAATATTGAAAAATTAATTTTAAGAGATTTAAGTTGAATCACAAATTAAAAGTGGTCTGTTCTCTAGTTAGTAACATTAATAGCAAAATAAGCAAAATTAATTTAGTGATAATATAAAAATTTTTAAATGTGTGAATTTAATACTCAAAATAATCCTGTGGTGAAGGTGATATTTTAGCCACCTTTACAAATGATGAAATAGCAGAATAGAAAGTTTGAGTAATTTAATAGACATTACTAATAAATGATTAAATCGGTTTTCAAATGCCATTCTTCTTAATGCAGAGACTGTGACTAGCAGGGTTACTGCCTCAGCTTATAATTATTTTTTTAAAGATTTATTTATTTATACAAGAACTGGGGTACTGTCAGAGGTGCAGGAGGGTGAGAGAATTCACCAGAGACAGAGCGGAGAGCAGAGCAGGCAGACGGACCAAAGACACTGCTGAGGGGAGGAGCGGGCCAGGCAGGAGAGGTCTGCTGCATCATGTGGGTTTCTCCCTGGCCGGCCAGGAATCGAACCCACGCTACAGAGGCTGCAGACAGCTTCACAGCATTGCGCTCAACCCACTGCGCCACTGAGGAGGCCCAGCTTATAATTATTATTAAAGTAAGATTAGGCTATATTAAATAGCTCAGGGAGTGAAGAAATTAAGAATTTATATCTGAACACATACCTTAAAAAAAAAAATTTTCTCTTGGGCCTCCCCTGAGGATTATAAGGGTGGCGCACCCATAATCCTCCACTATAGACCACTGGGCCCCATCCCCCCGTTCCTCATCAACCACCCCCACCTGATCCTACAGTTATATTTCTAGGATTTTGGGGGGGGGGGCAGTTAGTTTTGCCTGTTCCTTTGTTTTGTTTCTTTATAGTCCACATATGAATAAAATCATCTGGTATTTGCACCTGAATTAAATGATACAAAGCCAAGCTAGGACGAGGCATACGGACCATCACTGGCAATATACTAATGGAGCCCCAGAAAGCCTTTGTAATAAGATCCACTCCCAGTCATAAGAGAAAAAATGAATTTGTCAGTTCAGCAGTTTATCAGACTTATAGAGATCCACATACTACAGTACTTAAAAAGTCCTAGTTGCTTGAGTGACTCTGGCAACCATGGGGAGGTGGGAATAGCAATAAAGGGCAAAGTGAGGACACCACATCTAAACCCCCCACAACCTGCCTAGTCTTTCTCTCCAGACATACAAATGCCACTCAGGAGAAAGAATGCAGGGCTTTTGCAGTTTGCAAAGAACACAAGAAAAAGCATTCTGGATACCTTAGCTCTGGGGCCTTGGACTTCTCCCACTGCCACTGGCTTCTGTTATGAGTTGCATTTGTAAAACAAATCTGTGCCAGGAGTTCCAGTTGAAATCTTGGCAGGCAGTCTGAGGACTTTTCTTGGCATGTGGGTCAGATTTGCCTTCTTCCTGAAGTAGAGTAAGGGAGAGCAGATAATCATACCTGAAATTTTAGAAATATTTATCATGCATTTGATTTGTGATTATTGATAAATACTCCTGCTCATAGAGGAGCAGAAATATCTGTGCAAAATAGTTCAAGGATATTCATCAGCCATGAACAAAACTTCAAACCAGGTTGTAGTTCTAGTTAATACTTGATCACTGGATACTTGATCATTCAAGTTAAACTGTTTATGGTGTCTGGGAAAGCAACTCTCTGCTTAGCCATCAAAACTCATATTCTTTTTGGGGATAAACCATTAATATTTGTTTTTAAATAATTATTGTTACTCTCAAAAGTTTGCTGAATGAAATTATACATTTCAAATGTATAATAACTTCCAACAGCATTGCCTAGTGAAAGGTACACATCAAGTAAGGTACATAGTCACCATAAACCTAATATCTTGGGATTGACTCTTTAGATAATGAGCCAAGAGGTTTTAAGGATTTAATTTATGAATAAAATGGAGCTAACAATGGGCTATATCCTGCTTTTCAATGGTATTACAAAGAAAGGAGGATGGGCAAGAACAAATGGAGGTTACAAAGCACAAGGCAGATGTGGGTGGGAACTGTTTTTGTTTCACTTCAGTGGCTCTTTTAGGCTATATTGACTAATCCTGAAACCGCTTTTAATACTAAAGCATGACCTAGCAAATAATTGGTGGGAATGAAAGTGAATGTACATTAAAGTAAGTGACTATGACAGGTGTAAAAGTAAAACTGGTCTGATAACTGTTTTCTCCAAATCTGAATGAATTTAATATGGAAATACAAATACACAGTTGGGAGTGATGGAAGAGTCCAGTATTTCCTTAGCTGCTACTTAAGAGGCATTTGATATTTCATCATCATCATTGAGATTGTCTTTATAAATTCAGCTTGTGATTCCTTACTTTAAAAAAGGAATGTACTCAACACTACAAGAGAAAAGTGCTATTGAGTGGCAAATCTGAGTTAATGTACCAAATTGTTTTCTGGTTAATTAAAAAATTATGTCTTTGGAACTATTGTTCCTGGAATTAAAAAAACTCTTATGCCAAATAATTTTGATTAATGTAAAAACTTTGTTATTAAAGCATCTATTAAAATGTGATTTATCATACCACTGTCAACATAAGCAAATTATTTATATAAAGAGCACCCTTATGTAAAATCAATAAACATGATGAGTTTATAATATAGGTAAAAAATTATTAAATATTTATTCACTGCCTATTGTAGGCCCAGAACAGCAAGCTACATTATAGCTTACAATACAGATAATAATAAATTTTAATTGCAAAGAAAATCATTATCAATATAGTCTGGCAGAGTTATAATCTGGACTTGGAGTCTGATGTGGCATCAAATTTTGGTTCGTCTACCTGCTGGATCTCATATCATATAAACAAAGTCTACCATTTTTAACTCTAGTAGTTAAATGTGGGGCTGTAAAGGATTTCTCTGAGGACCTGCAGCTTAGTAGACTCTTAACAAGTAGCTACTAATAAACTGAATTTGTTTAGCAAGGACTTATGTAGATTGTAATATTTGAGCTGGATCTTAATATGTAGGAATATGAAAGAAAAGTAATTTGCTGGCAGATCTTTATGGGCAAGATTTATAGGCTCAAAGATATGAATGAATTGGGCCAGATAAAGAAGGAAAACATTTTGGAACAGAAATTATGGTAGGTAAGTTGGAATCCAAAATGTTGGGCCCTGCAGATCAGAAAAAGGAGTCTGACCTTAGAACTATGGCATAGGCAAAGGGAGTAGTTGTAAATTTTGAAAGAGAAAGTGGTAAGATAAAATTATTTTTAAAAAGATTTGCTTGCTGCAGTAAGAAAGACTGTTTGGGGCAAGAGATTATACCTGGCAAGGTTAACAACAATATGAAATAATAATGACCTAAAATAATATAGGACAGTAAAACCTGAAAGGAAGGATTAAAATATTAAAATATATTGGAATTGCTGAGAGTTATTTAAGGTCATTTTTACTGCTAAAACTATAATAGCAATTGCTACCATTTAATGAACACTTAATATGTCTATTAATATTCAGTGCAACTCTGTTTTATAACATCCCTTTTCTAAAGATAAGAAAACTGAAGCTTAGAGATCGCACATCACAATATGTGTTATTCAGAATATTTTTCACAGTTTATAATAACATACTGGTGTGATTATTTGGTGATATATTTCCTCCATTCAAATGGAATTTTCAAAAAACAGTTTAGCAAATCTTCAGGTGGGTGAATAACTGCCTCAAAGCTTATATAGCCAATAGGTGAGGAACCAAAATTCAATCCTAGGTCATTTTACTCTAAGGCTACGTATTAACCACAATTACTCTATTTCTGCACATGCAAGACAAAATATAAGATGTGAGAAAATTTAGAATGTGATCCAAAAGACGTAACCACAAGAATGTCTTTCCTTGTAATAGCTTTTTCCAGTAATCTATTTCCCAGATGGCAACATTTCTGGTGTTGAAGCTAGGCTTTCCATATCCCCTTGAGAGGCCAGCATGCCTATGATAAACCATATTTGGCTAAGGTGGTAGTAAAGGATCTAAATGAAGACTGTAACACAGATCTACTTAAACACAGAGCACATGTATTTCATACACTGTGGTATCCACATATTGGACTCTTGTAGTTAGATTTTTTTTTTCAAAAGTTTCCGAGTTGGGCCTCCCAGGTGGTGCAGCGGATTGAGTGCCATGCTGTGAAGCTGTTCGCAGCCTTAGCAGTGTGGGTTCAAACCTGGCTGGCCAGCAAGAATCCCACATGGTGTGGCAGACCTCTCCTGTCATGCCTGCTGCTCCTCTCAGCAGTGTATTTCTATCATCTGCCTGTTCTGCTCCCTGCTCTGTCTCTGGTGAATCCTCTCACCCTCCGGCGCCTCTGGCCTATACCCCAGCTCTTGTATAAAAATAAATCTTTAAAAAAAAAAGTTTCCAAGTTTAACTTGGAATCTGTGGAATAAAGCAATGTCCAAATATAAGGAACTGGTGTGATTAACTGTATGTACAAATTATGGCTCTATATACATTTCTCAGGCAGAGCAAGTAATAATGCTTATAGTTTGTTTTTACACATTTTTCTCTAAAAGCTAGACAAGGAGATACACAAGTGAATGATGTTTTATAGTGAAAGAATGTTTGCTTATAGTCTATAAATTTTGTCACCTAATCAGATTATACTTCTAAAATATCCCTTTACCTCAGAACATGTCAGTGTGGCGATAAATACTATAAAAAATTTATATTTTGCTTTAAATTTTACATTTTATGTATATTTGTTTTAAATATATATATTTGTTTAAAAGTTAAATATATATATTTGTTTTAAATTTAAATTTGTAGCCTTCTAAGTTTAGGACCTCTTAATTACATATAGCCTAAGATACAGGGTGTTAATTTGAGATTCCAGGTTTTTAAGACAGAAGCGTCATACTTAATAGAATTCAGCTTTACAGTGGGCAACGTCAAAAACATTGGGGCAACTGTGCCCTCTGAATCTCAAAATAAATGATATCTCCTGCAAAAATTGCAACCTATTGTCCTAAGATGTAGCCATTATTAGTGGAACTTCTGTTTCCCTTCAGCTGGCCAATCTGATATACAAAAGAGTCCTGGAATAATCTGTTCCTTTAAGGTACTTGCAACTGATTTCATGGAGCAAGACAGATAAAGTAGTAATGGAAGAGATTTTATTTTTGTAGTAAGTATATTCTATAGAAGTTCAGAAGAGGTCTGCTCAGATCTGTATGGAGTGGAGTGAACAGAGAGAATTATATAACTAAAGTGAATTAAGGGAAAACAGGAGGCATAAACCCAGTTCAGAAAAATAGTACATGAACGAAGGCAAGGAGGCTAGACTGAGTGTGAAACTGATTATTTGATTTTTACTTGAATTGATGTGTGTTTAAGCAGTGCTTTAATAATAAGAAATAGAATTTTTACCTAATTAGGGATAGAGAAGGATCTCTTTATAAGCCAGATGGGAAATGAATGCGCGATTGTCACATACAGACTGTTATCTATATCACTCTATTACCTCTGCGTCTTTTCCCTTCTGCACAAAATGAACACACATTTATAACATTTACTGTTCAATAGCAAACAAGGTTTCTTATTCACCCTTCAATAGGTTCTTCGTGAGAGTACAATGGCTATAGAGTCAGAGATAGCAGAAAAGATACTATTTCAGATTTTGTTTTCCCTGGAATTCTTGGGTAACCACCAAAGTAGCATATTGTATGGTGAAGATTATATTTTGATAGCTGCTAGTGTTTGCTGGCCACATGTCAAATAGTGTTCTAATTACTTTATACATAGTAACTCATTTAATTCTTAATACTTTTTTTGTATTAGACAAATACTAGAAGCTGTCAAAATATAATCTTTATATTCTGTAAGCATGTACTGTCTATGGAACTCATCATTCCAGAGATTAGACAGCCGATATATCCCAGTATAATGGGAGTTGAGCTGGTACAATGTGCTAAACTTTAGGCTAACGAAAACACGTTGCCTGTTTATGAAGAGTTTGTCTATTTTATAGATTTTGCCATTGGATTTGCTAGTATGCTTACACTGCTGAATTGAATTTCCTTTGATTTGCAGGAGGATGTTAACAAGGCAGTGAAGGCTGCAAGGCAGGCTTTTCAGATTGGTTCTCCATGGCGTACTATGGATGCTTCTGAAAGGGGACGGCTAATATACAAGTTGGCTGATTTAATTGAACGAGATCGTCTGTTGCTGGCAGTGAGTATTAACTGGAGTGGGAAAATAGCAAGCTCTCCAGAAAGCATTCATTGTTTGGAGTGGCAAGTTATTTTGATTTTAGTGATCACTAAATTGTATGCCCTGCACATACAAAATGAAAACCAGTTCTTGGATAGAAAAGTTACCACCAAAGTAATTCACAGATAATAATTTTCACTCTACTTTTGGATGATGCTAATTTCTACTTCCAGAATAAATTCTACAATCTAAACTTTTGGCAAACACCAAGACAAATCAAAATTTAAAAAAGTGCATTTCCTTTACTCTAAAATATTCAGACGTTAACAGCTCATACAAAGTATGAATACCCTAGTATATTAAAATGAGTTTCTCAAACTTATTTGACCACTGATTCCTTTTAATAGAAAATCTCAGAATATATTAAAAGTGCCCAGAATATTTCTCTAAAACAAGTCTAATTTCTACTTATCCTAATTCACTAATACAATAAATAGCTACATTTTCCCTTCCTGCAATGTATACATTCACAATAATCTTGATAAAAGTATATTCTTCTTGGTGCGACAGTAAAGAACAAAGAAAAAGCCAATCATTCACGTGTTGTTGTTTTTTTTTAATTTATTTTTATCTATACTGCTTTAAAGAAACATTTAAGCAGTTAGATGAGCCAGCACACAAAATGGGTGGGGAGCTATTTCCTTCTTTTCTTCTCTGTTGGGCATTATGGTTAAGCCAATTTAACACAAAGCAATAGCCAAATCAGATTTCACAGTAAATTTGAATCACCTTTAGAATTTTAAGCTGGGAGTAAAAAAAATAGGCTGACATTTAAAAAAAAAAAATCAACCTTAATAAAGATTCATTTATAACTTAATTTAATAATTAAAGAATGCAAAAATATGGAATTAGAAGTTATATATAATAAAATTACATTAATCAAAGTCTTATCGGAAGAAAGCAGAATTTTCTAAAACTTGGTTTCTCTTTCTGATCTGTGGATTATTTAGTGTTGACTGCCTCAGTTAGCATAATATCTGAAGGGGGAGAAAAGAGCAGGCATACAAAAATCATGTTAGGTTAAATTTTGAAATGGTCTACAGTCTGGTGCAGAAACAGAAGGTTGTGGAAGGGGTAAGAAATAGCTTTAAGAGTTTATCAGCTGTGTATAACTGCCAGGTAACTACCCCAGAATATTAGGTTCCAAAATGTTCTTTTATTTCTGTTTGAGGAGGGAAAAAAAAGATACAGGCCATCCTCTAATGGTTAGGGCACTAAGTTAGAAGATGTTGAACTTTACAGTCTGACCATTCAAAAACAATAATTATGATAATAGTGAGAAAACTGGTAATTTTACAATTTAAAATTCTACTGAGGGCCTCCCTGGAGGCGCAAGAGGTTGAGCACCGCACTATGAAGCAATCCGCAGCCTCTACAGCTCAATTTCGATCCCCGGCTGGCCAGGGAGCAGCCCACATGGCGCAGCAGACCTCTCCTGATTTGCCTGCTGCTCCCCTCAGCAGTATGGTTCAGTACATGTGCCTGTTCTGCTCCCCACGCTGTCTCTGGTGAATCCTCACCCCCTGCATCTCTGGCCTGTACCCCAGCTCTTGTATACATAAATAAATCTTACTAAATAAATAAATAAATAAATAATTCTATTGAAGAAAAGTTATGGGTCTATGCATCCAGGGGTCATTTATTTTTAAGAAAATTGATTAATTATATCCAAGTGACGTGAAAAATTTTAAAAATTTATTGAGGTATTGCTAGTCGTCACTGACACTGAATTATCACCCACAGTGGTATTTGTACTATAAGTGAAGTCTTGTTAGAACTCTCAGGTGGCTAATGTGAGTAGGTGACTCTCACTGTGTGTTAACAAATTGTGGTCAATTCCTGGAAAGCCAATAGGGTATTTAAAATGAGACAGAAGGAGTACTATGGCTTAAAACCAAAATCTCACTAACTCTTTCTTTGAGACCTTTCTTTCAAATCAAATAATAATTTTAATTACTTTTTAGCTCATTTTTAAAAAGAGGTTAGATAAGATGACTTCTGAGATTTTCTTTGTGTCCCAAATTCTCTAGCACATGATTAGTCAAAATATTAATTATATATTTCTTAATCTAAAATTTTGATATAAGTTTTAGATTTGGGGTTTGATCTTTATTTCAGACAATGGAGTCCATGAATGGTGGGAAACTGTTTTCCAATGCATATCTGATGGATTTAGGTGGCTGCATAAAATCACTACGCTACTGTGCAGGCTGGGCTGACAAGATCCAGGGCCGTACCATTCCCATTGGTAAGCAGCTTTGGGAAACCAGAGGAGTGAGGTAGAGGGGGGCGAGAGTTCTGAGGACATGAGTAATTTCAAGCTCTTCCTTTTAAATGTGTCCGCCAAATAAGGCAAATTATGTTCTCCTTGACTTTGAGACAATGCAGTTGTGAACCTGGAAGTTCTGCTGAGATTCATCAGATGACTTTTAAAACTGTTTCAGCATAATCATGCAACACTATAGATATTTTAGAAAACATTAAAGTAAGAACATTGTTATGCCCTCAATTACTGACTAAAGGCAATTACCTTTTGAAGGGGCCTAACTTTTCAAAACTGGCTTCTGAAATTCTTTATTTGGATTTTATTTCAATGTGACATATATAACCTATATTGTAATTATTTAAAGCAATTTGCATATTCCACTATGAGTTGGTTATTGTCATCTGTGTCTGGCCTAACTCAGTATTATTACAACAGATTAATTAAACAAAGCAATTCTTATTGATTTCTTTCAAATAGCTTTAAAACAAGATGATATTGTATTTATAGCCCTAGTGAATGTGTATGTATATATGTATTTTAGTAGTATGTGAATATAGGATAGGAATATGAAAAGGCACCAATTTGCAAAACATTATGGGTAGAATTTAATTTATATAAATGTATTGACTATAGAAGTGCAACACCCTTCCAGGATGGGCCTTATGTGCATTTCCAATCAAGTTGGAACATCCAGTAGAAGAGATTGACAGAAAATTAAAAGGAGAGAGTGAGATCATGTTGGTACCAAGAAATGTGACTAGTTTAGAAATTCTTAATGTTTGACAAAATGGGAGAATGGGAGAAACCATTAAAAGTACAAATAGGTCTTGATTAGAAGGCTACTTAGAGTGATAGGGAGGAGGCTTCTGTAGGTGCTAGAACAGAACAAAACAGAACACAAAGCACAATATAACCTCAGGATGACTGCTTTAAACTTGCAGACATGTATGTCAATCAAATTCAGATTGAAAGGAATTTTTTTTTACTCCTGGCATTTTTTTCACACATTAAGAGAGTTTGTTTTTATTGTTTAGTAAACAGACGAGATTGAGAGAGAGAGAGAGAACACTTTAGAACAAGACAGTAGGAAAGACTTATTGCTCAGAGGGAAATATTTTTAATCCTCTTTTGAAATTTACTATGTTTAAAATTACATTACTCTTTTTAAGTCTACTATTGCTGATAGAACTTAGAGCTGTTGGAAACACACTTTAATATGGTCTTCCCTTAGCCACAAACCTCATACTTGCTTTTTCATTTCTTTTCCATAAAACTTTGAGAACAAGGAAGATTTAGCAAACAGCTCATAATATGGTGAGAGATGGCATTAAATACCTTTCAAATCTCTACCAATTTCTATGTTTGCCTCAAACTAATTCAGTTTTATACTTCCTTCATTTCAAATTACTATTTGAAAGCTCAGTTTTATCTTGTAAATAGCTAGAGATACATTCTTTTAAAAGAAATTATTTCTACACCTTCCTCTCACATCAACCCCAAACCACCATTCTGTGAATGTCAAGTATATGTGTCTATAAATGATGATGTGTCTTTCATTTTCCAGATGGAAGTTTTTTTGCTTATACAAGACATGAGCCTATTGGTGTGTGTGGCCAAATCATTCCTGTAAGTTGATCTTCAAAATAACTTTCACTTAAAAAAAAGTTCTCATTCTATTTAATTTGGATAATTTTTAGTGATTTTCAAATATTAAATAATGTATTTAATTTTTCCAGAATGACAGGATGCTTAGCTATTTACTAAAAATGGAACAAATATAAGACCTGTTGAACTTGGGCCTCTCTGTTACTACATTCTTTGGCTATGAATTAGGTAGTACATAAACTCTTTATTTTGGTATATTTCTGAAGTGTGAGTCAATTATTGCAGCATCAACAGCTCTTAACCATTTACCCTGGTTTCTTTTTTTAAAGTTGTAAATTACATACTTTTTAAAAAACCCGTGGTTTATTTGTATGTAAAAAAGGGATTGTCATTGCCATATCTTTTTTTTTAATATTTATTTATTTATTTATACAAGCACTGGGTACAGTCAGAAGTGCGGGAGGGTGAGAGAATTCACCAGAGCCAGAGCGGGGAACAGAACAGGCAGACTGACGAAGTACACTGCTGAGGGGAGCAGTGGGCAGCAGGAGAGGTCTGCACACCATGTGGGACCCTTGCCTGGCGGCCGGGGATCCAACCAGAGCTGCAGAGGCTGCGGGCAGCTTCTCAACCCAGCGCTCAACTGCTGCACCACCGGGGAGGCCCTCATTGCCGTATCTTTTGAGAGGATACCACTTAGTGAAATGTAGTCTGGCCTACTATCGCCAACACTTTTTATCTCCTCATTGGAACTTCTCATCATGGAGACAAGTATCAATCAGAAAAAAAAACAAACATTTTAATTAAAATTAAAGAAACTATGCCAGAGACACTTGGAACATTGAATGGAATATAGCCTACCATTAGGTAACAGGCTTTGATACTCCAAATCCCTCTCAGAGAAGGTAATTGTTTAAGCAGCATCATGAATATTTCCTTTTAGACCCAATACAGTTATATAGAAAATTATCTAAATGATGTCACTTTAACATTTTCAAGAAGACCAAACAAAAACATAGTTAAGTGTGCTGAAGTTCTTAGATGAGGAAGAGGCAGTGACTAACCTTCTGCCCCAATTAGATTGAAATGCATATATATATCAACATCTTTTTATAACTTTTGATTTTTTTAAATTTTATATATTTTAAAAAATCATTTTTCATTTTTGTACAATGTATACTTTCTCATCTCACCATAGTCCTTTGTGCTCTTCCCTCCCCTTTTTTGACCCCACTCCCTTCTCCTGGTTTATAGTTGCCTGTTGATTTTGATTTTTACTTTATTATATTTAGGTTTTTTTTCCTGATCCCTTATTTTTGGATCCTCTACATTTTTAATGAAATTGCTCATTAGTTCAAAAATCCCAGTAAAATCTAGAAAAATTATACAATCTTATTCCCAATAATTGTAAGTATCTACTGCATATCTATGGTGAAATAGTCACCATGGTTACCATTTGCTTACTTTTTTGTACATTGTGAAGTACAGAGGAATGTCAGCAATACTGATAATGAAGTCATATACAAAGATCAGTTAACTTATATGAGTGCACATGACTGGTCAGTACTGAGCTGAGTTTTGAAACAAGATCTCAGCCTCTAGCTCCTGGATTTGTTTGTTTTGACGAGATAGATTTTCTTAGCAATAAATGCTGCTAAATGATATTGGGGAAAGTGTTGCAATACATGATGTACAGGGAGGGAGGCATAATCATATTTTCAAAACACTTATAAATGGTTTGCAATATGTTTAGTTGTAAAGTTTGACTTCTAACCCATGCAGTGATTATTTTTTCCTGGTAGAAAAAGAACTCAAAATAATAACACTTACGACAAAATGATTAACTGTTCCCTTTCCGTATCTAGTTTCTGTGGAGCTTTCTGGCATTTATGAGTTGCTTTTGGCAATGAACTGAATTAGAATAATTAAACAAAGCTACTACAATTATTACTTAACATCTACAGGGAGTGGATCATGTAGAAGTTAGATTAGCAAATGTGGCTTTCCGCAATACAAAGAGTCTATTGTTATGTGTTGCTTTCTAGTGGAATTTCCCCTTGGTTATGCTCATTTGGAAGATAGGGCCTGCCCTCAGCTGCGGAAACACAGTGGTTGTCAAACCAGCAGAGCAAACACCTCTCACTGCTCTTCACGTGGCATCTCTAATTAAGGAGGTAAGTTTCCTAAATCAAAAGATACACAAGAACTCAGGAGCCCTCCTTTACAATAGGAAGACCACATTTGGTGATACAGTAAAGCTACTTTATCTGTCGTGGCCCCTGTCCAGTGCTGGGGGTGCCTTTAGCAGAGCTGCTAGGTGGGATTCCGGGCAGTCAACCCAAATGTGGGAGACATGGCCAGATGGAGACAGGGCCAGACTCAAAGACTTCATGAGAAACGTCATCTTAAGATCACAGTTTTGTTTCTTTTGCCTGACTCTTGTGAGGGTGAATTCATGTGGAAAAAGATACAGCTTTCTTTCAAATGTTGAAATGTAATTTGGCTTATAACTGTTACCTGTGGCCTGGAGTTTTTGCATATTTGTTTAAATAGTCCATGAGGAGGTTGGAGGGCTCTGTGCCAATATGCCTGCTTGTAACATGCAGCCACATTTTCTTCTAAATGCAGCCACATTTTCTTCTAAACAGTCTACTCTTGAGGGGATATATTTATATTTTCTTTTCTATTGTGATTTCCTCTGTATTTATCTTCTTGACCAAGCACTGACAAAAGAGCACATGACATTTATTTTTGTCAACTATCCAAATGGAGTTAATATTTTTTTTCTTGGAATCAATGTATTGTCCTTATGTTAGGGGGTAAGGATGTCCTGAGCTAATTCCATGCAGGCTTTGTGGACTCCACCCCCACTCCAGACCAAAGCCATCAAGACAAACACTTAGTCCTTCATATCTTACCAAAACTTGAAAAAAAAATTAGTCACTAGGAACTTAAAATTTAGGAAACCTGAATCATATCATAAAAATATCCTTTACTTGAATTAAAAATTGGTAAAAATGAGTAAATTGGTAAAATTGGTAAAAATGTCAAAATGAGACAGTAAGATGCAAAAAAAATTTTAAAGTGTTCATCTCAGTTTCTACACTGTTTCCTACATAATAATTCTTTAAGTAGGAATAAAATCAATCTGTTAATCTTAATCATGAATGGGATGACCTTTACTTGCCTAACATTTTACTGAGTAAATAATGCCAACAGGAATTTGCAACCCAGTTAGTATATACTGAGCAAATGACAGCTAGAAATTAAAAAGATGACATTCCTATAATTTCTTGTTTTTTGCTGATGGGATAATAAAGGCATTTCCTTCTTTCGACATGAAGAATTTACCACTTTTACATGCTCTCTTTTTGAGTTTCTATTATGATATTTGTGCAACCATCACTGGAATAATGATCCAGGCAAGGCAAACATGAACTTACACTGAGGAGAAATGGCTCTCGGTAATGCAACCCTTGGGGTAATTTAAAGTGGACTAAGCAATAAAATAAACAAGCCAAATAATACTAGTATGGCTTAAGTGAATCTTTCTTGCTAGAGAAGCTCATAAGGTTAGCAGAAAGAGGCAGCTCTGATCCACACTCACCTCTTTTTCTCTTAAAATTAAATGTTCAGTTCTGTCATAACATTTTTTTTTTTTTTTTAACTTCATGTCTTTTAGGCAGGGTTTCCTCCTGGAGTGGTGAACATTGTCCCTGGCTATGGGCCAACTGCAGGGGCAGCCATATCTTCCCACATGGACATAGACAAAGTGGCCTTCACAGGATCTACTGAGGTAACAGCATTTACATAGGCCAGTCGTTGAGAATGTCTGCAGCTCCACTTTCAGAAGCATGTTTTATGTAACTGTTTTTAAGCCGACATTTCCTTAAAACAAAAGTTCTTTTTAATGATTTGTTCCTATTCTAGTTTTCAAAAATGTTTATAGAACATAAGCAGATGTAGTTGAGATGAAATGAAATACCTATTACAAACTTAGAAGGACTGGTATAAACTGTTTTTAGTATGCTCATTATTTTCCCTGACTAGAAGTATGGCCCATTAGATCTTGTCACATGATTAGTAGGTTTATGATAGAAAATATAAATTCAGCTACAGTGATTTGTATGAATGACTGTAATTTCGTCCTATAGATTATGAAAATTAAATAGCAGCATCTCACCCTTAACACCTTATTTGGGGTTCTCTCTTCTAACATTCTGAAAGAAAGCCAGAAGCTCAGCTTCCCTGCATGTCACTGCTAGTTCAGTCTAACTTCTCTGTCTCTCTGGCTTCAGCATAGCTCTCTAGAAGGTTAAAGAACAGGACCACAAGTGGCTACTGCAAGAAAAGAAGGGAATGGGAGGGAGTGAGTAGAGGGCTGGAAGGTGGAGTTTGGGAGAATGGTTTCCTATCTGTTGAGACAATTTTTTACTGCAAGCAAAAGATAGTGAAATCACACTGAATTAAGCAAAAAAAAAAAAAAAAAAAAAAAAAATCAAAAAAACACACCAGAAAAACCAAACACCAACAAAAAACCTGAGTCATCAGCATTCAAAAAAGATAAACACATGCAATTTGCAGCAACATGGATGGCGCTGGAAGGGATCATGCTCAGCGAAATAAGCCAGAAAGAAAAAGAAAAATACCGGATGGTCTCACTCATAGCAGGAATCTAGAAAACTTAAATAAGGGACCAGGAAAATGAATAACTATAAGAAAGTGAAAATCAAAATCAACAAAAAACTATGAACCAGAGACACTCTATGGGGGGGGGGGGGGGGAAAGGAGGGCTTGGGGTCAAAATAAGGGGGTTGTAATTGTATGGGGAATATAAAAATAAAATTTAAAAAAAAAAAAAAAAAAGAAGCTCGGGAAAAAAAAAAACAAACCCTGAGTCATTCCATTAGACTATGTGACATTATTAAATATATATATATATGTATGTATGCCTCTTACAGTACACAAGTTTATATTAAGGATTGCAAATAAATGAATCTCATAAAGCTGCTGATGAAAGATAAGACAGGATGTGATAAGATACTAAAATGTATGCAGAATGCTGTAAGGGAGTGTCACAGGAAAAAATAATGATGTCTCAATGAGTGCTAGGGGTTATTCTTGGTTTTGAAGAATAGTTAGTTTTTTAACTCCTGAGAGATTAAGAAGCAAAAAGAACATTCATTGTGGTTAGTGAGGAAGCTACCTTGATTATTTTATACTGCTGATTAACCACTCTGCTATAAAGAAACATTTATATAGAGATACAAAATGATGGGAAATCAATTTTTATTTTTCTTGATATTTATAAACTAGGTAAATAAATACATGCTCTTGCATGTTTTTATAGATATAGGGTAGAAATGTTTGCACTTTGCAATCCCCTAATTGAGATAGGGGAAGGTCAACCTCTCATTCAGGATTCTATAGATAAAACCTTTAGGGTTGTTCAAGTCACACAATAAAATTTAAAAACTGATGATATCATAGGTTGAAAGTAAAGCAGAGGAAGTAAACACAGGAGGAGACAAACTCTTTAGCATGGTATTCTAGACCTTTCCCAAAAGGAACACCATGTACATCTTTAGCTCCAGTTACCACTTTATCTTTCAGTTCTGGCTTGTCTACTTCTGGGCCAAGGGCCACTGTTTGCCCCTAGATCCCGTGTGTGGCATCACTGACTGTTTGTCTTGGCTCAACTTTGAGCCCCTGTAGCATTTACAGGTACTTTGCCTCCCTAGTGGTGCAAGGGATTAAGCACTGCACCATGAAACAATCTGCAACCTCTGCAGCAGAGTTCAATCCTCTGCCGGCCAGGGAGCAACCCACATGGCACAGCAGACCTCTCCTGTCTCACCCGCTGCTCCCCTCAGCAGTGTATTTCAGTCAGTCTGCCTCTTCTGTTCCCCACTCTGTCTCTGGTGAATCCTTTCACCGACCCTCCCCCCCATCTTTGGCCTGTACCCCAGCTCTTGTATACATAAATCTTTTTTTAACAAAAAAAAGAAAATTAGGAAATATCTGGATCCAGATTCCAAGCTACCCTAGCAGTGTGTCTCATGATTATTATATGTGTTGTTCTTTTTTTTTCATTTTTTTCTTTCCTTCTGCTCTGCATATACTACTCATCCTTTATCTCTGTTGCATCAGTTTCTGGCTGTTTCAGGTTTCTTTCCATTCCTCCATGCTTTTGCTCATGAGTAGTCACATCCACTACAAAATGGCTAATACTACATGTTACTTCTCTCACTTTCTCTGAAGCCCCTAAGCATCCTCGAATTTAAAAACTCCACATCTGTGTTCCTACTGTCTGTGATATGTAATTATGACAGCACATGGTCATGGCTTTGTCATATGTCTCCCTTGTTGACTGTCACCCAAGACTATCTTATTCATTGCTTCCTCCTGAAACCAGTATAGTAACAACAGCTGAATAAGTGTAAAAGAATTATGTTTGAGTAAGTTGATTTTAAGGAATCATACACAGAAAAATCAGCCTTTCTGAGTTGTCTTGTAGTTTCAGTTTTGTTTCTTGGCAGATAGGAAGTTGTCAAATGCTTTGAAAGAGGCAAACAGTGGATTACCTCTTTTGTGGTCTTTATAACAATGGCTCATTTTTCTAAAAACGCTTCTGGCAAGGTAAGAACTTTAATGTTGCATTAGATTAATTTAAAATAGAATCCAGCCAACATTGTGGAAGATGTAGTAAGTGTAGGATATTTTTATGAGCATTTTCTACTTCCAACCCACATGGCAATGCTACAGTGTCATGGAACATAATGTTTACAGTGGTCGTAAGAGTTCTTATTTCTTCATTGCAGACCTCTTTGGGGAAAATAATGAGTTCTTGTTTTTTTCCAAGTAATGGAACAAAATCATGGGGTAAAAACTGATGTTCCTAATTTTGACTTTAGCTAGACTTTTGAGAAAACTCAAATCTTTTACTTGACATTTGAAGTTGTACTAAGCAAGAGTACAATGTTTCATTCTCATCCATACTTCTAGCCATTCTTCATGCTAGTTCTTTTGACCTCTAGAACTTTTAGGAAAATATCTCTGATATTACTACCTTTCTCAACATAATCTACTTTAGTTAAAGTTCTTCATTAAACCTATCCAAATAAATAATTTTTAAAAAGTACAGAAAGCAACAGCAGGTGCAGAAAGAATTTGAGGAACCCAAAGAGAAAAAGGCAAAGAATATTATCTAGGAAATAGAAAATTAATAATCACCTTAAATATCTTAAAAGTGGTCACACAAAGGATGATGTGGAAGAAAAATGTGATACAAAGGAAACTTCAGATCAGACAGTGTTTCCCTATTGCAAACTAATTTTTGTTTATTTTTATTATCCTACATCTAAGCATTTGATTTAGTCCTAAATTAATGTTCTACTTTGTGATTCATAGTCACAGTCAGTTCATAAAATTTAACCTACACTTAGCAAGCATCTACTTACCTTTTGCCAGTTGGGATAGACACTTCTTATTAAAACTTGATGTGTCAGTACAAAAAGAAATCTAAAGAATAAAAGAAGATAAAATGAATTATCTTTTTAAAAGAAAAGCAAAAATTATTTTAGTGCATTAAGACCTCAATAAAAGTAATAAACAAGAAATAGTTTTGAAACAGGCCAGGTTTCAGAGATGGAAAAATAAAAACAACTACAGAAAATAAACTTGATGGGAAGTGATTCACATAGAAAAAAATAAAGAAAATAATGTCTTTCTCTGGAGAGTCAGCTAGCATTAAAGAAGAAATGATCACAGTAGGACTCCAGCTAACTGAAGTGGCAGCAGAGTCCAGATCCAATTTCTTCCTTCTAACTCCATTGTTCAAAAAATGTGGAGGGAGAAAGGAAAGATGGGGTGGGAGGAATCTGTCAGTCAACAACCAATAGTTAAGAGAGCCCACTGTGATGGAAACTGCGAGTAGAGCTCTGCAATAAATAGCCATTGTCTCTTACCAAGGAGGTAACATCTGTTTGGGAAGTTGATTTGTATACAAATAATACAAACTGAGGGAGATTGTGAAAGAGTCCTCATGGAGGTATTGTAAGGAGTCATTTCTTCCTATGTCATCAGAAAAGATATCAAAGAGAAGTAAGACTTAAGTGGATGGATGGATGGATGCATGGATGGATGGACATATAAATATTTCTTAAACATTTATGAAAAGAAAGTTGGGAGATATATGTATGTGTGTGTGTATATATATACATATATATATATATATATTCCTTTGTGATTCACTTCCCATCAAGTTTATTTTCTGTAATTGTTTTTATTTCTCCATATGTGAAGAAACATGTAATCCTGTAATTTACAGCAACATGGATGGATCTATAGGGTATTATGCTTAATGAAATAAGTACCATATGATTTCACCCATATGCTAAAGAACAAATGAATGAAATAAACAAAACAATCTTTAGGCTATAAGAACAAGTCACGATTATCAGAAGGGGGAAGCAGGGATGTGTAGATCTGATAAAAGGGTTCAACTGTATGTATGATGGTGAATGGAAACTAGAATTCTGGTGAATATAAGATAGCCGCTTTATACGTCTGGCACCTGAAACCTATATAATGTTATAAAATAATATTACTTCATTGACAAAAAAGATATGCGCTGACCCCAAGGAAGGATAGAATTAGATACAGCCCAAGATAGGGTGGGTATTCAATGAAACTGTCAGATGAGATTCAGTGGGTGGTGAATATGCCATTTTGTCTGGATAGAATTTCCTAGCTTTCAATAGCTGACTGGAAAGTCAAATAGAAAAGTGTGGCTGGATGTGCAGATCCATAACCAGAGAGATGAAATTCCAATTAAAATGAAAAATAAGCTCTTTTCTAGCCATGGACATCAGATCAACAATCATTTCTCTATTCTCATGAGCTTTATTTGATGCATTATATGTTTAGGCTTGGATGGAGGAGTCTTTGATATTTGAAGGTGTCAGATCTTAAGAAATGTCATTTAATGTTCCTCCCAAAGGAAACTTAACTATGGCACAAACATCACATAAATTTAAAATGCTAAATAAATCTGTCTTCATGAGAGTGGATTAAGCCTCCTCCTTTGTAATGCTTCATTTCAGGTTGGCAAAATGATCAAAGAAGCTGCTGGGAAAAGCAATCTGAAGAGGGTGACCCTGGAGTTGGGGGGGAAGAGCCCTTGCATTGTTTTTGCTGATGCAGACTGTGAGTATAAACCTCTCTGTTAACTATTCATCCTTTACCCTCTTTGGTGTCTGGTAATGCCACACAGTTAACTTGAAGTTTACAAAAGAGTTTGCTTCTAGTGTAAGGTATTAATAGGAATCCAGAATTGCTTGTGAAAATCTCTTAAGTTGTCCAAAAGTTGTAACAACTAGGTAAATCTAACACAGACATTATTTCTCCCTCTTTTGGAATATGTATTTGTGTGTTGTGTGTACATACATACATACATACATACATACATTAAGTATATATAAATATATATAAATATATATATATATATATATATATATATATATATACTTAACTATTAGCATCATGTTAAACATGGTATGATAACCTCAGGTATGTTGGACTGGGACCAACTAGGGAGAGAGCAGTTTGTCATCTCTTTCTACTTTGGGTCAGATACTCATTAACTAGCTAGAAGAAAATGAAATGTTCTTTTTAAGTAATTTCTGATTATTTTTCTAACAAGTACAGCTGAATTTGCATATATTAAATCTATAATTATGTGACTCTACTACACAACATTCTATTTGGCATGCTATATTGCTAAATAGAATCCCAAAACGATATTCAAAATGGGAGTCAAGTAACAGAATTAGAAGGTCAAAAATTCATCTGAGTCTTTCTTTAACAGCTGCATTATTGCTATAAAGCAATAAACACAAATGGTTCATGGAATTGTTCTATGTTGCTAATGTGTTCTTAACTGAAGTCTTTTAAAATATATTACCATATTTCATAATCTACAAACATAGCAAGATTGCCGATTTTATCAAATCTTTCTATAAACTCCTGCTACAACGTAAGTAGATGTGATTGTTCCACAGAATAAATGGAACAATATCCAGTTGGTATAATATTAAATCTTCAGCATTTAGAAAACTCAAATTCAAAGAAAATTTTCTGATGGTTATAAAGGATCTGTTAATTAAACTGGTTTTTTTAAAAGATTTATTTATTCATGCACAAAAGAACCGGGGTACAGGCCAGAAGTGGGAGAGGGTGAGAGGATTCACCAGAGACAGAGTGGGAAGCAGAACAGGCAGACTGAAATATACTGCTGAGAGGAGCAGTGGGCGAGACAGGAGGGGTCTGCTGCACCATGTGGGATTCTCCCTGGCAGGTCCCAGGGATGGAACCTGCACTGCAGAGACTATGGACAGCTTTACAGTGCTGTGCTCAACCACCTGCGCCATCAGGGGAGGCCCTAATCTGTTTTTTTTTTTTTCCCTTTTAAAACACATTCCACCATTTCAAACAAATGAGTAGGAAGAGCTTATAGGCATAACTTAATATACTTTGGATAGATTTTGAAATGTCTTTCCTAGAATAGAATTATAGATAGGTGAGCAATTTAAGATGTTAAGATGTTAAATTAAGATCTAACATCTTAATCACTTTAATCACTTAATCTAACATCTTAATCTAATATCTTGATCACTTTTCCTATCAATCAGGGTATTTAAGAATGTTTTGAAATTATTTAATGCAATGGATACTTCATGTTTTCTTTGTCATCCATCTAAAACCTGCTCCTGAAATATTCAGTCATCTAAATAAATGTATAAATGCATATGTGTATATACTCATGTACACATAGCCATTTATACTTGTAATTAGTTATTTATACACACACACATATACGTGTGTGTGTATATATATATATATATATATATAAATATTTGCCATAAGACTTGATCTTATGACACCTTCCATATTCTTGGTAATAACCATACTAAAATTGGTATAATAACCAGCATTTCTTCATATTCTATTATTTGTGCTATCATTTCTATAGCAAATAAAAGGTAAGAAGGTTTAATTTGTCACCTAACAAGAGGTAGAATATATTGAATTAATGTCTGATTATACAAATTATGGTTTGACTATACCACCATATTACTTATGAGAATTATATATAGCAATATATAATCTTGAAAAAAATTCTCTTTGCAGTGGATGTTGCTGTTGAATTTGCACACCTGGGCTTATTCTACCACCAAGGTCAATGTTGTATAGCTGCATCCCGGCTTTTTGTAGAAGAATCAATTTATGATGAGTTTGTTCGAAGGAGTGTTGAGCGTGCTAAAAAGTATGTTCTTGGGAATCCTCTGACCCCAGGAGTCAGTCAAGGGCCTCAGGTGAGTATACATTAGAAGGAACAGCATTCTCTTGGAACAAAGATAAAGTACCCTCCTAAGACCTAGTTTTATTGAATAAGATTACTTCCCATCTACACATCTTCCCAGGTGGCAATACAGTATCAGCCAGATGCTTAAAAAAAATAAATGACTCTAACTCCCACATGTAAAGAAAACATCCAGCTTTCCTATCTAGAAACAAGTCAGGGGAATGCTCTTAAAGCTGGAATATAAAGATGTGAGGAAAAAAGCAAATGCTATAAATTTCTAGTTTTCCTCAGTCTGGCTTTCTCTTGATTCTTGTTTACATCTCTGTATCCACTTTGAAGTTCTACATACTGTCTATCATTTATCTCTTCTTTGGAGTCATTCCTGTCACACAGTGAAGGGCCATCAGCACATTATTGAGAAGTTTCTGAGTGTGGAAAGGAAGATCTACTTCAAATATGGTCAATCTAAAGAAAGTTTGTATTTATGGTGAATTAGAAATAGCCAGACCAAACTGAATGAGTCTCTAAGTATAACTGAACATTTCTGTCACTGCTAACCTATAGTGCAAAGTTCTCAAGCTTTGCTGTGCATACGAGTCACCTGACCTTGTTGAAGATTCCAATTCTGATGGAGTTGGTCTACATGAGGTCCTAAAAGAATATTTTGCTGCAGATTATAGGAGCACATTGTAAATGGCAGACATTCAAATATGAATTTCTACATTTTTAGGAGTTGGTGACCATCTATGCTTTTAAAGAAACAAACAAATCATTTCACTGCATAAACAGAGATCCAACTGTCACTAAGTATCTGTTCAGTATCTGTTCACAACCTTAGGGAACACATCTTGAAACAAAAACCTAAATAATCATGATTTTTGAGGACATCATCAGGTTAATATTTTGGAATAGGCCAGAGGAGCTTTGTGTGATGAATGTGACCTTCATTGACAAGAGTATCTTTACCAAACAGAGCACCCAAACATTACTTCTTAGTCTGATTATATTAATAATATGCATTAATTTAAATGTTGCCTCTTATTAAACTAATGTTACAATTTGCTTAATCTGCTGAAGAGGAATGTTCTCTTGTTGGATATTCAATTAAATAGTGGTGCACTGTGGGGAAGTGCAGCAACTTTGTACCATGTACTGTGGCAAATTTTAGAAAATGGGTTCTGGTTTCTGGTTTCAAATCACACTTAATTTAATTGGAGATTGACACTGGGTTGTATGCAGTTAGAACTTTATGAAACCTTTTTCTGGGCCAAGGTATATGAGAGAAATTAAACAGCCAAAGAAGATAAAGAACAACCCATTTTAAGAGATGACACAGTTACATTGTTCAGGGGCCCCCATATAAAGTCCTGCACCTCTTACATTTTTCCTTTAAAATCTAAAACTTAACCTTTGGCCACATCTGAGACCAGGCAGTTTTCACCAGTGATTTGAGTCTAATACTCATCCAGTCTTTCAATCTGTTATAATAGGAAGCGATGCAATAGGTGACCTCAATTTCAGTGCATGAAGAGAGGTCTGTATCCTGGTGTTCCCTAGCAGACCTCTGGACTCATTTTTTTCCTATAAAAATATTGTTTCATGATCCATTTATATATAATGGATTATAATCCATTTATGTAATTTTTGTCATGGTTCTATAGGGCACATTTAACCAAGCAGGGTGGTAACAACTGGGACAGGCTAGAAATTGGAACCAAATCTACTGACTACCCCAGAGGCACTTGAACTTGGAACAATAACTAGGCTGTGGTTGGTGTGGATCTGGACTGAAGGGATGGGTTGGGAATAAAAAGAACCAACCAGAAGTCTAGGAGTCATCTTCAAGTCTAAAAGCATCTGCTTTCCAACTGCCATGGCTAATTAAACCCAGTATCAAATTTCTCTTTTTTTTCCCTTCACCATTTTTTTCTTCAGTTAGAATTACAGTCTCCAGGTAAGTGTGCTCAATTATTAACAGGCGGTTCTTCCAATGTAAATAAATGACTGTTAAATGAAAAGGTTCGCATGCATTTGCAATGGCAAATATGCTTTTCTTACATAACTGTAAAAAAAAAAAACAAATACTAAATATCTTCAGTCTCTTTCTATAAAAGTCATGAGAGCAGAGTATACACAGAGAATTCATCTGAGCCTGTCAGCTCTTTTGACTGAATCTTTGATTTAATAACAATCCTAGCATTTTGAAGCCCTCATTAACAGGCATAGCAATGTAATACATTTACAAGTTGCTAATTACATTCCCCCCCCCTTCTTGTGCTATTTTTCAAATAGATTGATAAGGAACAATATCAAAAAATACTTGAACTCATTGAGAGTGGAAAGAAAGAAGGGGCCAAGCTGGAATGTGGAGGCGGTCCCTGGGGGAACAAAGGGTACTTTATCCAACCCACAGTTTTCTCCAATGTTTCAGATGAGATGCGTATTGCCAAAGAGGAGGTAAATGATTTCATTCTGTTCTGTTCCCTTTGTTGCCATATTTTGTCTTCATGTTTGTATGCAAAGTGTCCCTTTTAAATTCTTGGTTTTTTAAACATCTTTCTCAGTAAAAGTTACTCTTCATTTCTGTAACTGATAAAGGTTGAAGTTATTTGCGATAAAGACTAAAAATAGTAAGGAATTCTTTGGTCTAGCCAAGAATTTCAGCCAAACACAGATGAGGATGCCTGAAAAATTTGGTGCTTCCTTCACAAATGTCAAGGAATGAGAAAGAAAACTGTTGCTTTTTCACCTTTGGAAATAATATATTTGAAAATAATTGGAAAAGGATAAAGGGATATGCAGTTTTTTTAGTAAAACTTCTTAATCTGAAATAATTTTCTATTCAGTTGCTATTTGAGAACTGAAGAGCCATGCACTCTTAAATACTTTCTTTCAACAGTAACATCTTTTTTAAAAAAAAATTTTATATATTTATGCATACAAGGGCTGGGGTGCAGGCCAGAGGTTGGGGGGAATGGTGAGTGGGTGAGAGAATGCACCAGAGACAGAGTGGGGAGCAGAACAGGTAGATCCACTGAAATATACTGCTGACGGAAGCAGAGGGTGAGACAGGAGAGGTCCGCTGCACCATGTGGGTTAGTGGATAGCTTCATAGTGCTGTCACTTAATCCTGTGCCATCAGGGAGGCCTTCACAATAATAACATTTTGCAAAACTATAGTAAAATATCACAGCAAGCATGTGGACAATCACCCAGTCAGTATACAAAGTATTCCATTACCATATGAGCCCCTGATGTTTTCCTTTAGTAGCCAAAATCCATGACCCTCCTACCATACCCCATCCTTAACTTGTGGTTTTTCCCTTAACCACTAAGCTGCTCTGTATTCCTACAATTTTGTCACATCCAGTGTTACATAAATGGATTACATGAAACCACCTAGATGAATCTGTACAGAATAAGAGATTAGGAAAAAAAAAAAAAGCTAAGTCCAAAAGTTTGCATGATGTGGTGAATGAGAAATTTAAGACCCAAAGTTTAAAATGATTAGGTCACATGGCTATTTAAAGGCAGCTTGAGCATGTAGCCCAATTCTCATGACTTCCCTTCTACTTGAGCAGTGGTTGCTATATTAACTCCATTCTCCATTCAAACCTGCCATAACCTAACACTTTAAAATCTCATGGAAAGGGCCTCCCTGGTGGTACAGGGATTGAAGTCTCAGTGCTATCAAGCTTTTGCCAGCCACGGTAGCATGAGTTCTATCCCCTGCCAGTGAGCTAATCCGTCCTGTCTCCTCTGCTGCTCCCCTTAGCAGTGTATTTCAGTAGATCTGCCTGTTCTGCTCCCCACTCTGTCTCTGGTGACTCCTCTCACCCTCTGCACTTCTGTCCTGTACCCCAGTTCTTGTATGCATAAATAAATAATAAATAAATAAAATCCCATGGAAGATATGGGAATTAGACTATTAAAAATGATAGTGTTAGTATTAGAAGGAATATTGTGGATAATTCAGACCAAAAATCAAATTTATGGATTAGGACATTGAGTTCTAATTTATTTTGTTTTACAGGGCAAGTAATGTGCATGCTTGGAGATTGAGATTGTCTTTGCCAATATTTAATTTGGCACAGGTTCTCTGTGGGATATATAATAATAACACAAACCAATAGGATACAAGATAAAGTCTCTTAACAAGCCAATAAAGAAATGACATACTCTAGACCAATGACGGATCAAATACACTATTGTTCTAAGCAGAAGAAAATTGAAAGAAATAAAGTCCAAATTTAGTCAAGATGTAACTTAGTACGCATTTGTACTCAGAAGATCAGCTCAGTCAACTAGGAGCTGAGGTCCTGCTGTTGATGCCAACTCAGTTTCTTCTTGTTCAAGTTCAATGCCAGCAAAACAAAGAAGTCAGTGTTGGCAAGCAAGATAAGCTCCTTCAGGGCGCTGCTGTACAGTTCTCACCACTGCCCTGTGAGTGAAGATTAGCCTTTGTCTCAACAGAAGCCAATGCCTTAAGGTCTTCAGAGAGCATAGTTAGATCAGCAAAGAGTCTCCTGGCCCAGACCAAACACTCAAATAGTGTCTCAAAAACTTTCAGCATTTAATTTTAGGTGTCCATTACATGATGCACATCACACCATTTTCATTATTATGATGTCCATGATGCAAGGGTCCTCTGTATGTTCATATTGAGAAACAAAAAAAATGTGCTGGCATTACTTACATCTGTTCTTATTGATAAACTTTCAGTGGCATCACCGCTTTGCTAACTTTATTCTTTATACATTCCTATCAGTAATCACTTTAACATAACACTTTTGCTGACATTATTCTGCACATGTTCATGTTGTTAAGAGAGTCCTAATATCCAACTTTTAAAATAATTTCATCAAAATAAATTATTCAAAACAAGTTCCGCCATCTAAAACAAGCTTATATAATAAGGATTTAAAGTCATAATCAGTCAATACATGCCAAGACCTAGAAAGTGGAAGTGAGTTACTATATTATAGAATTATAGACAAAATCATAAAGCTAGAAGGATCCTTTAAGACCATGTCTACAACCCTTATTATATTCCATCAATTTGCTCTTGAATAAGTGGCCAGCCAGTGTCTTTTTAAACAACATCAGCATTATGTATCATACTATGTCTTCAGAGATTTCCATGTTTGGACAATGTTAATCATTAAAAAGTTCTGCCTCAGGCTACCTAGGAACTGTCCTCTTATGTTCTACCTGCTGGTCCCATATCTGCCTTTTGGCCTTTTTCCACATAAGAACCTTCCATATATTTAAAGCTTGTATCATACCCACCCACCCCCCTTTTTACTCCCCATTCTCCAGCTCTTGGCCATATATTTTTAAGCTCTTGTACTTCCTAAATTATCTAGATGAATATACTGTAGTGAACTATTTGGTGAGCACAAGTTAATTAACATTAAGAACAATGTTACCCAGAGACATAATGTGTTAAGTAAGAAAGGCTAGTTTGCTTTTAGGATTTGTAAATAATCTACCTCTGAGCCACTGAGGCTTTTAACAAATACAGAGATAGATTCATTAACTATGAACTGTGAAAGGTGTTATATAATTTAACACTACAAGAAGGCTCTGACAAGTCAAATACTCTGAATCATAATCCTTTCATTCAATAAATTTGTATTTCATGATTGATATGCAGAGAATCTGGAAGGGTTATTTACTGCCAAAAGTCACTAAACCAAAGTAAAAGTACAGAATCAGATGCAAATAGGAAACCAATTAGAAAAACTAACAAGCAAAGCATAGGGATGATTAAACATACTTAGTTTCTCCACATTGATTTAGTCCCCAACTGATTATAACTTTTGCATTTGTTGACAAATATTTGTCTTATTAGAACTGTTGTTCTTGCACACCTTGACTAATATCAGATAGAAAAGGCTAGGGAAATATTTTTTCTATCAAGGAAACATTGTGTTCCTACAATATACATATAACTCGTATGCTACTTTAGAATTGGGATCTGGAGCAATGTGCTGTGTTCAACTGAATAAAATATTAACATATTTATCACAGTAGGTGCTATATAGGTTAGAGTATTATGATTATAGTTTTAGGATATATACTTAGCCTCTGATGAATGGTAGCTGTTCCACCCGAATACTGAAACTAGTGATAGAAACCTGAAAACTATTTACCTTTTCTGATTTTTACCTTCCCTTATTTATATTTCACAGAAAATGCAGATAGCACTCGGGGGAGCTGACCTTTCATTTAATTGTAATATATGTTTTGTGGCAACATATAGGCTTAAAAATAATATAGGAGCTTAATTCTTAAGAGAAAAACCAGTTGTTTTACTCTCATCTGAGGATGAAAACAAAATGAGTTGAATTTGGGCAATGCTAACTATAGAGCTTAGCAAAACTGAAAGTGGTTCAGGCTGAAAATAACCTAATTTTTGTAATTGTCATTGCCAATGACTTACTTTGGGGCTAGTAAAGGACAGTGGAGGATTTAAACTCTTGCAGTAATGAGTGATTCTGTTTGGTTTATGTGAGTTGCTTAAGATTTGGTTGATGTGTAACATCTAACCAAAAATTCACCAACTTGACAGATATAAATCCACTAATATAGGTGACATCTCATTTGATGACACACATTAATGTCTAAAAATAAATTATTATCAGTCAGTGCCTACTCATTCATCCCATAGAGGAAGCATTTTTTTCTCAGGTTTATTGTTTATGTAGTCACTTAGAAGATGGAGAAAATAGGAAGAGAATATAAAATGTTTCTAAATGGAAAAGAAATTCTGTAGTGATTTCATGTACAACTCCAACATGAATGTTGCTTTATTTATTTGCACCCAGTCTTGTTCCAAAGAGAACATAAGACAAGGCTCTTACCTGTCTTAATCTACCATTCCAGCAGCTACCATTTTGATTCTTACACATAAATTTTAGAAAAGAAGCAAAACTGTAATTCCAGGTAATTTATAGGAAAATATAAGTATCATACAAGATATTCACTTTTAACTAATTTCTTTATTTCATTCATTTATGTGGAATAGATATTTGGACCAGTGCAGCAAATTATGAAGTTTAAAAGTTTAGATGATGTGATCAAGAGAGCAAACAACACTCACTATGGTTTATCAGCAGGAATCTTTACCAAAGACCTTGACAAAGCGGTAACAGTCTCTTCCGCTCTGCAGGCCGGGACAGTGTGGTAAGTCAGACCTATATAATAATGCCTTTATTCTGTTAACCACATTAACAGATTGCCTTGAACCTTGTCAGACCTTATCTTTTTTTTTTTTTTATTTGGAATAACATGGCCTACTAGAAAAGCAGTTGCTACCTTAAAAGAAAAGAAACAAAGAAAAAGGCTAGAGTAGAACTTAAGAAGAGTATTTTCATCAACTCTATCCAACCTTTTGAAATTTTCTGCCCAAATTATGTTTGGGTAACACCATGTAAGTGTTACTAAATTCTGAGCACTTGGTACTCTGGTAAACAAAAAAGAGATGGAAGTTGAGTGTTAAAGTTAATTACATAGTAAGGCAGTACTTACTATGTACTGTCAGTACTTTAATTGTATGCAAATTTTTAATTCTCATATCAGCTTCTTATTCTGAGATTGTTACAGTAGTGAAGGTCTTAATTTGGATGAACATTATGAGTTTTGAGGAACATGTTCCTGTTCCGATTTTTATATGTCATTTTAGTATATAAATGCTGTACTCAAGATGGTTGCATTCCCTGGTCAGTCCCCAGTCTCTGGACTGCTTTAGTGGTAATTTTGTCCTATCAGACCTCACTTATTCCCCCCTACCCCCCAAACAATCTTGGCAGGAGCCCAGGTTATCTTCCTGCTCAATAATGTTAGACCTATTGCATTTAAAAATCCATAGGACATTGCAAATAATTTATACTTCAGAGACAGCCAAACACTCCTTGCCCCATTTGATAGCGCTAGACTTGTTAGTCTTAACCAACGATAATCATTTAATTTATATATATATGGCCTTTGGTAGGCACTGCACTACATTCTTTGTTTTCATTATCTCATTTTACCACACAACTGTTCAATTGTTATGTTACATTTATCAATGAAAATACTAAGGTTTAGTAAGACTAAGTAAATGATTGAGGTCACACACTAGATGATAGCTGAGATTCAGACCTATTTCAGCCCCTATAGCAATGATTTTCAACCTAGGCTGTACATTAGAGTCCTCTGCAGACTGATGGGGGTGGGAAAGGGTATGTAACAAACACCACTTAGTCATTAGTTGCTTAATGACATTTCACCCAACCATGGACAGCACGTATGACAGTGGTCCCAGTAGTCTACACAGTCTTAGTGTATACACTGAGTATTTACTAAACCTTAGTGTACAGTTGGCTATAATGTCTAGCTTCATGTAATTACACTCTGTGATATTAGCACAATGATGAAATTGCTTAAGGACACATTTCCCAGTTAGGATGACACTAAGTATCTATTCATCTCTGTGAGACTGTTATTTCAAAACTACCTTGATCCTAGAGTGAACCCAAGACTACTATTCAAAAGCCTGATTCCTCCTATATTGAAATGTTTTCTGAGATTCTTGAAACCTAGCAAACTTTTCATAATCAGTATGACTAGTGACTAGTGTAGAATTTCCCTATAAGGTTAGCGATCAAATCTGTATTACCATTTACTAAAGATTTAATATGTGTCAGCACCATTAGATGCACATTATATTCAGAATTTTACTTCTGCCTTGAAACAACATTATTAAATATTATCATCACCCATTTCCCTGAGAAGGAGACATATGCTTAGAGAGGCTAAAAAAGCTTTCTTGGTATCACCTAGGTAATAAGGAGCAGAACTAGGGGTTTTGCTAGGGGTTCGTCACCTCCCTCTTTATAACTAGCAAGAATCAAAGGAGACTCAATTGACAAGGCTGAGTATTTTGAATTTGCAGTTTTCTAGAATATTTCCCATTTATCCATTTGCATATCCAAAATAGTTTGATTTTGTTGTAGAGTCAAGGAGCAAACTTATTTACTGTGCTGGTTAACAAAAACAAATTTCAGGTTTTGGATTATGGAATAACAGAATATTATGTCTGTTTAATTAAGGAGCTTGTTATGCAATTTTTCCACTCAGTGGTGTGGGAAACCCTGGTCAGGAATTTCTGTGCTATTAAGAGAGGTGATCATATTCTTATTACTCTATATCCTCGTAAAAATATCTGGCATTATTGAAGACATAGTTGCTGCTTGCTGTTTTCAGGACAACTATTGTATTCTAGAATTGCTGTGATTTTGCCTATAAATTTTAAGTAGGGGTCTGATTTTTCAGTTTAAAGAGAAATTAAAGGAAAGCTGAGACAAACTGTATTTCAAAAGTTTGAATTTATTTAAGGACCTGTCTCCAATAGGAGAGATTTGGGATAAGAACTCTGTCGCCAGACCCCCTCTGGCCTGCAGTCCAAGCCCAGAGGGGAGCAGGAACCCACCGCCGGGGCACACCAGGCGCACAGGGGAGTGTGTCCCCACATCGGCATTTTAGAACAGGGACCTTTCTCCATTAAAGGCTGCTTGAAACTGACAGATGACTCCTGGAAGAACCAGAGGGGAACAGAGAAGCCCACCCAAGATGCCGGCCAGTCCCAACAACACAGTGTCCCAACGCATACGGCAAATTAGAAAACAGACAGTAGGGAGGAGAAGAACCACACGCAACCTAGCAACTCTCCAGAGAAAAAGCACACCACAAAAAGAAAGCCAGCCCCAGATTGCAAAGACAATAACTTGGAAGAATTTCTGAGCCTTCCAGAAAGAGAATTTAAAATTGCCGTGATTAAAAAACTGACAGAAGTCATAAAGGAAAACAATGATAAGGGAAAAATAATCAACGATCAGAAGAATGCAATTGAGTCCCTAGAGAGGGAAAACAATGGTCAGAAGAAAGAAATTGAGTCCCTAAAGAGGGAAGTAAAAGAAATGCAGGAGATCAAAGAATTAATGGAAGAACTAAAGAATTCTGGGAAAAGCAATGAAAGCAGAATAGATGAAATGGAAGAACGAATAAGTAATCTTGAAGACACAGAAATAAAAAGAACCAAAACAGAAAAGGAAAGAGAAGTACGAAGGAAAAAGAACGAAGAAAAACTTCGGGAACTATCTGACTCCATGAGGAAAGGAAATATAAGAGTTATAGGAATACCAGAAGGAGAGGAGAGAGATGTAGGAACAGAGAAAATATTCAAAGAGATAATTGAAGAGAACTTCCCAAATGTGAAGAAGGAGCTGAAAATTGATATACAAGAAGCAAGAAGAACACCAAACTTCCACGACGAAAGGAAAAATACAGCAAGACACATAATAGTAAAGCTCCCAAGAATCCAGGACAAGGAAAAAATAATGAAGCTGGCAAGAGGGAAGAAACAGATAACATTCAAAGGAAAACCAATCAGGCTGACATCAGACTTCTCCGAAGAAACACTACGGGCAAGGAGAGAGTGGAGGGACATAGTCAACAGACTCCAAGAAAACAGATGCCAACCAAGAATACTCTATCCCGCAAAGCTCTCCTTCCTCTTTGAAGAAAGAAAATGGACCTTCCCAGACAAACAGAAACTCCGGAATTTCATTGCAACTAAACCCCCACTCCAAAAAATACTACAAGGAGTCCTAAAGCCAGAACCTCAGAGGGACGAATAACAATGAAAGAAGGCCAAAAAAAAAAAAAAAAAGTTATTAAAAGAATAAATAAATAAAATCAAAGGAAAGACAAACACAATGGCAAATACAGATGTTAACATATCAATATTAACTCTAAATGTAAATGGACTAAACTCTTCAATAAAAAGACACAGAGTGGCAGCCTGGATTAAGAAACAAAACCCAACCTTTTGCTGTCTCCAGGAAACACATTTAGCTACAAAAGATAAAAATAGGCTCAAAGTTAAAGGATGGAAAACAATCCTACAAGCAAATGGACCAAAAAAGAAAGCAGGAACAGCTATACTTATATCAGATAAAACAGATTTCAAACTCAAAAAGATAAAAAGAGACCCCAATGGTCACTACATTATGATCAAGGGGACAATACTTCAAGAAGAAATAACACTCATTAACATATACTCACCAAACGAAGGAGCACCAAAATATATCAGACAACTATTGTCCTCTCTGAAAACAGACATCAGAGAAAACACATACGTAGTGGGAGACTTCAACACACCACTATCAACAATGGATAGATCAACAAGACAAAAAATAAGTAAAGAAACCAAAGCTCTAAATAAGGACCTAGAGCAATTAGGCTTAACAGACATCTATAGAACACTAAACCCCAAAAAAACGGAGTACACATTTTTCTCAAGCGCACACGGATCATTCTCCAGGATCGATCACATACTGGGGCACAAGACAAACATCAACAGATACACCAAGATTGAAATCATATCAACCATCTTTTCTGACCATGAAGGCATCAAACTAGAAATAAACCATAAAAAGAAGGCAAGGAACTTTCCTACCTCATGGAGATTAAAAACCACACTACTGGAAGACCATTGGACTAATGAGGAGATCAAAGAAGAAATTAAAAAATTTTTTGAATTGAACGACAAGGAGGACACTAATATCCTAAATGTATGGGATGCAGCAAAAGCAGTAATAAGAGGAAAATATATAGCAATAGAAGCTCACATCAAGAAACAAGAAAGAACGCAAAGAAACAACCTCATCTCGAAGCTCAAAGATCTAGAAAAAGAACAACAAAAAAACCCAAAACCAGTAGAAGAAAAGAAATAATAAAAACCAAAGCAGAAATAAATGAAATTGAAACTAAAAAAACAATCCAAAAGATCAATGAAACCAAGAGCTGGTTTTTTGAAAAAATCAATAAAATAGACAAACCCCTAGCCAGGCTCACAAAGGAAAAAAGGGAGAAAGCACAAATAAACAGGATCATCAATGAAAGAGGAGAAATCACAACGGACACAGCAGAAATCAAAAGAATAATCAGTAACTACTATGAACAGTTATATGGAAACAAGTTTAACAATCTAGAGGAGATGGACAAATTCCTACAACTCTACAATCACCCAAAGCTAGATAAAGAAGAAATAGAACACCTAAACAGACCAATTACAATTAGCGAAATTGAAATGGTAATAAAAAACCTCCCCAAAACAAAAGCCCAGGACCTGATGGATTTACAAATGAATTCTACCAAACATTCAGAGACGAATTAGTGCCTATCCTTCACAAACTCTTCCAAAAAATTGAGAAGGAAGGGACAATACCAAACACGTTCTATGAAGCCAACATTACACTAATACCAAAACCGAACAAGGACAACACAAAAAAGGAAAACTACAGGCCAATCTCCCTAATGAACACTGATGCAAAAATCCTCAATAAAATTTTAGCTATCAGAATCCAACAATGTATCCATAAGATAATTCACCACGACCAAGTTGGATTCATTCCAGGGGCACAAGGATGGTTTAACATCCGAAAATCAATCAACGTTATCCAACACATCAACAAAAAGAAATATAAAAACCATATGATAATATCAATAGATGCTGAGAAAGCTTTCGACAAAGTGCAACACCCATTCATGATAAAAGCCCTTGAAATTCTGGGGATACAAGGAACATACCTCAACATCATAAAGGCCATCTATGACAAGCCAACAGCCAGTATCATTCTCAATGGTGAAAAGCTGAAAGCAATTCCATTAAGATCTGGAACAAGACAAGGATGTCCACTCTCACCATTGCTTTTCAATATAATACTGGAAGTCCTAGCCAGGGCAATAAGACAAGAGAAAGACATCCAAGGAATCCAAATAGGAAAAGAAGAAGTCAAACTATCACTATTTGCAGACGATATGATAGTATACATAGAGAACCCCAAAAACTCCACAGAAAAGCTAATTCAACTCATCAATCAGTTCAGTAAAGTGGCAGGATACAAAATCAACACGCAAAAGTCAGTAGCCTTCCTATACACAAACAATAAATCTGAAGAAGAAGAAATCAAAAAGACCATCCCTTTTGTTATTGAAACAAAAAAAATCAAATATTTGGGAATCAATCTAACAAAAGAGGTAAAGGACCTATACAAAGAAAACTATAAAACACTGTTAAAAGAAATAGAAGAAGACACAAAGAAATGGAGAGACATCCCCTGCTCATGGATTGGAAGAATAAACATTATTAAAATGGCCATCCTACCAAAAGCAATATACAGATTCAATGCTATTCCAATCAAAATTTCAATGTCATTCTTCAAAGAAATAGAACAATTATTGATGAAATTCATATGGAATCACCAAAAACCCCGAATAGCCAAAGCTCTCCTGAAAAAAAAAGAAGGGAATGGAGGCATCAGACTCCCAGACTTCAAACTATACTACAAAGCCATAATCATCAAAACTGCATGGTATTGGAACAAGAACAGACATACAGACCAATGGAATCGAATAGAAAATCCAGAAATAAACCCACAGATTTATGGTCAGCTAATCTTTGACAAAGGAGCAAAGAATATGCATTGGAGCAAAGAAAGTTTGTTCAATAAATGGTGCTGGGAAAACTGGGTCGCTACATGCAAAAGAATGAAGCTTGACCACCACCTCACACCATACACAAAAATCAACTCAAAATGGATTAAAGAACTAGACATAAGACCTGAAACCATAAAATATATAGAAGGAAATATAGGCGAAACACTACGTGATCTGCACATCAAAGACATCTTTACAGACACATCACCCAAAGCAGTGATAGTGAAGGCAAAGATAAACACCTGGGACTACATCAAATTAAAGAGCTTCTGCACAGCAAAAGAGACAATAACAAAAACAAAGAGAAACCCCACCAACTGGGAGAACATTTTTGCACCCAACACTAATGATAAAGGACTGATCACAAAAATCTGCAAAGAGCTGATGAGACTCAACAACAACAAAGAAAATAATCCAGTCAAAAAATGGGCAGAAGAGCTTAAAAGAAACTTCTCTGAAGAGGAAATGCAAATGGCCAACAGGCATATGAAAAAATGTTCAACATCACTTGTCATCAGGGAAATGCAAATCAAAACTACCATGAGATACCATCTTACACCAGTGAGAATGGCACATATTAAAAAAACTAGCAACAACAAATGTTGGCGAGGGTGTGGAGAAAAAGGAACTCTTCTGCACTGTTGGTGGGAGTGCAAACTGGTCCAACCACTGTGGAAAGCTGTATGGAGATTTCTGGACCTACTAAACATAGAGCTTCCATATGATCCAGCAATTCCACTCCTAGGTATTTACCCAAAGGACACAGAAACATCAATTCCAAAGAACACCTGCACCCCTATGTTTATAGCAGCACTGTTTACAATAGCTAAGCTTTGGAAACAACCCAAATGCCCAAAAATAGATGACTGGATCAAGAAGATGTGGTACATATATACCATGGAATATTACTCAGCATTCAAAAAAGATAAACACATGCAATTTGCAGCAACATGGATGGCGCTGGAAGGGATCATGCTCAGCGAAATAAGCCAAAAAGAAAAAGAAAAATACCGGATGGTCTCACTCATAGCAGGAATCTAGAAAACTTAAATAAGGGACCAGGAAAATGAATAACTATAAGAAAGTGAAAATCAAAATCAACAAAAAACTATGAACCAGAGACACTTTTAGGGGGGCGGGGGTGGGAGGGGTGGGATTGGGGTCAGAATGGGGGGCTGCAATTGTATGGGGAATATAACAATAAAATTTATTTAAAAAAAAAAAATTAAAAAATAAAATGATAGGCATATTTATAAAATAAATATAAAGATAAGACTGAAAAAAAAAAAAAAAAAGAACTCTGTGGGCCAAAGGGAACATAGAGATCTGGGAATTGAGACGGTAAGTCCTTTAGCTGAGAAAATATATGTATTTTATCTCAGGATAAAATTAATGACTGAATAATTGCAAGCATAATACAATATGGAAGTCACACTATTGTTGACCTATTATAGTACCATGAAGAGAAGTATTTTAAAAGTACATTTCTTCTGGGTCTCCCTGGTGGCCTTGGGGTTAAGTCTCATCGCTATCTCCCATATAGCCTAGTTTGATCCTTGGCCAGGGAGCTACCCACATGGCACATCAGACCTCTCCTGTCTCGCTCGCTGCTCCCCTTAGCAGTATACTTTAGTAAATCTGTCTGTTCTTCTCCCCATTCTCTGATGAATCCACTTACCCTTAGCATCTCTGGCCTACATACTAGTTCTTCTATGCAAAAAAAGAAAAAGAAAAAAGAAAAAGTACATTGCTTCTTGTTTGAATATTTTTTTCTCTTGTGTATAGAATCATGTAGGTAATTAGATTTTGCTGTTCTCTGGCCACCAGAAAATTCAAAGCTAAATAAATTGGTTATATCCTGCATAACTGCTTTTTAAGGTCTCCCTTATCTTCATTGTTTAGCATATTTTTCTTTAATTCTAATGATTCATGTTTTTAAATTATATTTGTCTATATTAGTATTGTTACACATTTTTGTGAAATATGAAAATGAATAAAAAAAATGATATCCAACTCTTATCAAGATCTCTGTTTAAGCAATTTATTGAACCAGTTAATAAAAAAAAAGTGAACTGAGTAATATGATGCATATCACAATTGCAAAAGAAAATGTATCCTGGTCTGCTAAAAACCCTTAAAATAATTACAACCCTTAGAATAATTACAAAGCTAAGTGCACAAGGGACTTTGGTGATGGTGCATGGATGAACTGGTTGTAGGGATTTTGTGGGGCCTATACCTAAGAGGCAAAAGCAAATATTGTATAAAAATGAACAATGATGTAAAATATATATAAAGTTTAAAAAATAATAAAATAATAAAAACATAATTGCAAAGCTTATTGAATATAGGCATGAAAGAGCAACCATCAAACAAACTCTTAGCAAACTATGCCCTTCTGTGGCACACTGGCGGTTCCATCCTTTATAATTCAGACTAAAACTTCTCAGAGACATGATGTAATTCCAACACACAGTTGGAAATTAACCACACACACAGTTGTTCCATTCTATTTCTAGGTAGTCTATATACATACACTTACCCTTCTGCATTTCCATTTTGCAATGCTGCCTTTTTTACTGTAATGAGCATGGCATATTGACATTAATGGAATTAAGGATGTCTCTGAATTTCTAAATTTCCAAATATAGGAGTTATTTCACAGGACATAAGATCTATAATGCACTTCTTTTCTTTTCAGGGTGAATTGCTATAGTGTGGTATCTGCCCAGTGCCCCTTTGGTGGATTCAAGATGTCTGGAAATGGACGAGAGTTGTAAGAATTCCTTTCTATTAAGATACTTATCTTGAAAAACATCATTACTCCCATGGAATTAATCTACAGTCTATTTGAATTAAAATTTGCCTGCAGTCTTCCCTAAAGCATAGTACTGAAGGGCAGGAAATCTGGCACCACCAAAGTATAAGATTTCTGATAATTGACTTTCACTATGTTCATCACAGCTCGGCAGTTGAGGGCAGGGATAGGAATGCGAGAAAGAACTAGTCTATGAGTGCCTTTCCATGCTTATATTTCGTGATTTTTACCATAGTGGGGATTCAGTGGATAAAGGGTTAATGACAATTGATTAAAAAAAAATAAAAGATGACCTCACAGTAAAGCTAGGGCTTGATGAAGGGCAGGAAACCAGCATAGGATGTCAGTAAGAAAAGAAGAGGGTTTTCTTAAACAGAAAGTAACTGGTGGCATATTGAGGGCCTTGTGAATTTGACTGACTGGTGGGCATTTATGGAAATGGGAAGTATGATTTCAGAGTTAAATAGGTAAGAAGTCTTGAATTCAAGAAGACTGGCTTATTTATTTAGTGGAGCTGTGAAAATTCATGAATATCTTTAGAATGTTGTCAGGGAAGTAGACAACTCCTACCAAGTACCTAGTGTAGTACAAAGAACAGGATTGGTGACTAACCAAACTGCATTTGAATTTACTGCTGGCCAGCCATGCAGCATGGTTCAAGTTCTCCAACGTATAAGTGTCTGTTTCTTCCTTTCCTAAATGGAAATGTTAAATTAACATCCTCTCATGAAAGTTATGAGAAATCAATGACATACTGCATTGTTCATTCCTTACCACGAAACTGTCACAAAGTAGGAACTCATCAAATGGCTTCTTCCATTTCTATTTCCTTTACTTTACAATATCTACTTTTGCAGAATCCCATGGCAGAATGAATTACAAAAAGCTACAACAAATGTTAGATTATTCTGAAGGACAGTAAGTTTATTGCTGGCCCAGTTTTCTAACACATTTCCCAGTAATGCTGAAGATAAAATAATCAAAAGGGACAAAATAGCAAAAATAGCCCAAACATATCAATTTTGTGGAATACAATTTGGTCAAACTTAAACAAAAGGAAATTGAACTAGAGAAGAATGAAAAACAGGAGTCAACCCTAAAATCCGGAATGTGGGTGCAATTTCCTTTTTTCAAATACAAAGGAAAATGCTATACTATAATTTTTGGTAAAATTTCCATTTTATTAATTTTAATAGTTTTTATTATGAGATAATATAGATTTACAACATTGTATAATATTTAGGGGAATAGGTTCAAACCTCCTGAGATGTATGTTACTATACCATATCTAACACCAAGCACCCTTATCCTTTTATCATAGACCACTTTTTACTTCCAAAATCCACCTAAGGAAGCTACTGTTCATGTCTACCTGGAAGCAAATTTGGTGAACTTAATAATCCGGTCATTTGCTATATGGAAATTAAGAATAATTATTAAAGACATAATTTCAAATAGCTCCTAAGAGTTCGATTATAACTTTCAAATATAGAAAGGCAGAGTTGATCAGATGGGAAACAAGTCTTCAAAAAGTCAAAAATCATGGCACGCAAACCCCCATGTGGTAACGATACTGAATGCCCAACCCTGGATTTCCTTCTCAGGCCCCAGTGCTGGCAGTGGAATAAATAAATGACAGAAATTCTTCTCTGTGTAATTGCACCAACTTTCATTTAGGTTAGCATAGGTCACTTGAGACTTTACTAAGAGACCATTTTAAACTTTACTGGTATTTCTTTCCTCCCATTCCTTTTGGAAAGAGAAGAATTGACATGTGAACTACTGGGCTTATAAAGAGCTCTAGCATGAATACTCTTTCCTTCATTTATACATCCCAGGTTAGTACAGCAAATGATTCCTTTGTACATACTAAACAGTGCCAGGCTCAATAGAGAGTAAAGAACAGATACAACTTGTTCCTAGAACCTTATTGCTACAGCATAGACCCTGGGTGAGCAGCATGGCCATCACTTAGAAGATGGTTGGAAATCCAGTCTTGGATCTCTCCCCAGGTATATTGAATCAGAATCAGGTGACCGGTACATTGAAGATTATGGCAAGTCACAAACCAGTAAGATAGACTATAAGCAAATGTGTTTGTGTAACACTATAGATAAACCATAGGCATAGGAATACTAAAGAACAGGACTTATTTCAGCCTAAGTATGACAATAATCACAACTACTCCTCTTCTGAAAGTTTCAAGCATCTATGAAGCTCAAAATAAAATGCAAAGTCTAGTGGCAGAAATCATGGGTTAATATATCAAAATTTATGAGTTACAATACTTATTAAGATATTATCCGTTAATGGGTTTCAGACAACTGAGGCTAAACCCTTTAATTACTCTGAAGAACATGCTCATTGAAGCTTTTAGAAGGTATTTTCAGAAGCTTAATGGTCCAAGAAAATAATCGGAGTTAAGAGGATTAGGTTACCCAGGAGAAAAAGATGTCTTCTACATACCTGTCTGCATCTGCAGAAGGGAGGAGTAGAAAGGGGTCAAGATCCCTTTTCTCAGGAATCCTACATATGCACGAGTATTAAGATTTTAAGAGTACTCTTATGTACATGTAATTTAATTCTCTCATCAAAACAATATGGAAAATAGCTCAGTTCTTTTAGTTATCTCTTAAACAACGGGTAAATCATAGTTTCTAAAACTGGTGGGAGGTTTTAATAAAACTGGTAAGATACCAGGATCCTAATTGATTCAGATTAATGCCTGCTCATTTGGGTTGGATTTAAGAATTATATAAGCAATAGATATGAACAGGGAAACCCTATAGTCATAAAAAGCCCAAAGAATTAAATGTAGGCTAATAAACTCTCTTGACCTCTTAGAAAACAATCAAACAAGAAAGGAAAATAAAAAACCTTGAACACTAAATTTTGTTTTTTCCTCCAAGAATCCAAAGATATTGTTAAAATTACAGCTAGAAATGTTTTATTTAAAGCCTTACCAATGGTCATTTTTAGATGGTCATGTTTAGATGTTAAAAGTTTGGACCTAGTCACACACAGAAAATACATTAAACTCTTTACTGTATCTTTTCTACGCTTGAAAAGTTTTTCTTGTTACTTGAGTGATGATATAGTACCACTTTTTCTGTTCTTGTACTGTGTCTGTTTTATTTATTTGAGCCAAAATTCAGAAGAATAACATTCTTGTTGAACTGAATGTCTTTGTGTGTGTGGTAAACTCTTTTATAGTCAAGGAGGACAAATGAATAATTTCGGTGAAAATCACTGAGTGTATATTTTAAAATGCAAACAAAAACTGCCCTAAAATTTCCCCACAGAGAATCTCCTCTGGTTGGCTAGCTGCTATTTGAAATGCTTCTGTACACAGAAAATATTTTCCATTGCCCCAAGCCAGATAAGCAAGAATAGACTTGTCACTAAGCACAGACTGTAGAACATGTGTACTGCTGTGCTAAATTCTGTGAATTTTTTCTTTCCTCTCTCTAGGGGAGAATACGGTTTCAAAGAATATACAGAGGTGAAGACAGTCACAATGAGAATTTCTCAGAAGAATTCATAAAGAAACTACACAAGTGGAAAGAAGAATTCTCAATGATTAAGCATCTCCTACACTAATATATTATAGTGGGTTTTAAATACAAAATCATTCTTTTCTTGATTTTTAAAACATAAAGGATCATATTATCATTAATACTACACATGGAAAACCTTACATGTAGCTTATTCTGAAAGAATCATTTGTCTTCTGATATGTGATCCCACCCCCCAGTCCTTATATATATTAAAAAAAGAATTTGGATTCAAGATCTCTCTAGCTCTGTAATAGTTATGTGCTTTCTTTGTAGCTACTTGTCCAAGATAATCACTTTATAGAAGAGGACCAGTTGTCATTTCCCTAACAATCCCCTTGAAATACTAAACATACTCATTAACTGCAGAGTAGATGTGTTCTGTTCTAGTAGCTGTCAAGTCGTTGGAGTTTGTTGAAAGTTTCCTAGAATTTCATGTCTGATTCTCAAATGAAGTAATATCTGAAATACTTAGCTGTAATGTAAACATAAAGCTTAATAAAAACAACCTTGCATGATTCTTGTTCAGCTTGAATTTGTTTTTGAAGATTTATTTATTTATGCATATAAGACCTAGAGTACTGGCTAGAGGGGTGTGTGTGGGGGGGGAGGTGAGAGGATTCACCAGAGACAGAGTGGGGAGCAGAACAGGCAGACTGACCGAAATACACTGCTGAGGGGAGCAGCAGGCGAGGCAGGAGAGGTCTGCTGCACCATGTGGGTAGCTCCCTGCCTGGGGATAGAATTCGTGCTGCAGTGGCTGTGGATTGTTTCATAGGTTGTGTCTTAACCCCTGCGCCACCAGGGAGGCCCACAGCTTTAATTTTTAAAGTAGTTTTGGTTATAATGATTTACTCTCCTTTTCACTCAAAGCCAATGTAAAACTGAGGCTATGATGCATTTAAAATAAGTCTAATCCACTTATTTTCAAATGGGAAAAGAAACACTTTATTTCCTAGAGGAATTTTTGCAATCAACAGCAAACATTTGATATAGACAGCTTTAGTCCTTCAGCAAGAATTTTTTGAGTTCCTATGAAGTTCTGTGCACCATGTTAGGTTTTGTAGAAAGTGAATTGTGAAATGGCCTATTAACTCAATGTATTTTAATCTTGTGAAGTACAAAGGTGCTATCTAAAATAAAAAAAAAAGATGGGTTATACAATGGACATGAGAATTCTGTGAACCCTGAGAGTGTGGTAATGTACCAAAAGGCCATGCAGTGATGACCTTTAACTGTGAGGTTGATAAATGAATGAAATTTGATTGGATAATGATGAGCAGATTTACAATGAATGAAGAAGAGGAAAGAGATTCTATCACATATTCTCCAGATCTCTTTACACTGGAAAAACAATTTGGAAAAATTCTATGTATTTTCCCCTCTTAGAGTTTCAAATTGCACATGTCATATCCTAAGTTCTGAGAAGTCCTCCAACCTGCACACATTTGATGGATATTCCCCCCTACCCCCCCCCAATGTATTTCATTTCATCAAAGAAATTTCCTTCTCTTTACCTTCATTTAATACCAATTAACATTAAGAAGCCCAGGTTGGAAGATGCTGTTCTTATGCAAAGAGATAGCTATGAGTGTCTTGAGGTGTGATCTGGGGGCTTAAGGGAAGCAGCTGGAACGATGCCCTCTAATGAACCATATTTACACATTTATGCCCTCATACAAAGAACTGATGATGCCCCCAACCTGTAAATGTGCGCCTAAGACTTAGGGTCTTGGGAGTCTCCCAGAGACTTAGGCTCAAGTAGAATTAGTAGATATTTTTTGTGTGTATTTTGCTACACATGGTCTAAAACATTTTTCTTTTACAAGCTAAAATTCAAGCCGACTAATCTTTAGGATTTTTTTTCATATTCATATTTAATATAAATAATTAAGCATCATTTAACATCAACAGACACTTCAGTGACACTATTATTGGGACATTACAATAGCTACTCCAGTCATGTGCAACAATGTACAAACAAAATTCATTCACTTCTAGATTTGATATAATTAAATTCCAATTGCACTAGTTTCTCAATATTATATAGTCTAAATGGTTTGTAATCAGAACTTTCTCGTAGGCCCATCCTGAACCTCTAGACATTATTTGTATACCTTTTCCTCCAATTTATATAGCCATACTTGCAATAATTCTTAAAGTCTTGAAAATTTTGGTTACTATTTGGAATAATGGAGGATTCAGAGTCTTAGGGAGAACTGAAAAATCTTTGGACAATGAGAAGGGAAATTTTCCAAATACAGGGGAGGGTTGCATTTTCCAAAAACTAGACAGGGTCCACATTTTTAAAAGATGTGCCTAAAACCAGGCATAAATAAATTAATAGACAAGTTAATATTGTAATTGCAGCCACCAGAACAATTTTAAATGTGTAACAAAGAGGGCTGAACACAGAAGACAAAAGCCAGAAGCCAGTTTAAATATTTGAAAATTAAATCTTTGTTCTATAAATAAGACATTACAGGATTAAACAGAAAATATCTGTTATATTTTGGTTCATCCTGAGCCTCTAGACATTATTTGTATACCCTTTTCTCTAATTTATATAGCCATACTGGCAATAATTCTTAAAGCCTTGAAAATTTAAAGGGTATCTTATTAATTCATGTGCAACAGGAAAATACACTAAGGGAATTTATCATGAAGAATTTGGTTCTGCACTAACATATGTGATCTCTTTGTCTTCAACATCAACATGGCAGAAAGTATTTTTGACTCCAGGAAGATCAAATTAAGTGCCAAGCTGGATGTTGGAAATAACTATTTAGGCAGAGGCAATGTCAGGGCCAGGTAAGAATTATGAAAAGTCCAGCTTCTTTTTCTTTTATAATTTTTCAGTATTGATTCTATATTTATTTTGAGATAGCCAAGGAGAAATAGGGGGGAAATATTTTTCTTCAATTCTTGGGGTCAACTGAAAATAGTTAACTCAAAGTATTGCATTTTAGTTATTTCTTCACATAATTTGAGATGGAGTTCTAAACCCAAAAAACCCCTTCTCTTGGACAATGTGTATTTTTTTTTTTTGACCATCTAATTTCACTTGAACTTTTACAAGTGCACATGTACCACCAACTAAAGTGTTTTCCATAGTGTATGAAATAACCAGATCTTTTCATAGCATATCAAATAATGAGGCTGCGTTTCACAAAAGTCACGAGTTCCCAAATAGAATTTCATTTGCTGATTTGAATTGGTATTTTTTTTAATGTTCTCTAGAGATGCACTTCAGTTTTCCCATTTAGATGGTGAAAGAATATATAGCAAAATAAATGGAGCTGATGACTTATTTTCCTGGATACCAAAATTCAGTGACTGCCAGAAGGGTGTAAAAGCTTACTTTTGTAGTAACTGGGACTATGATATTCTGAAAACTAATTTCCTAAGTTGAGACACAATTGAAAGAGAAATGCTGCAATTATCACCCTGACATTCTGTGGAAAAGTATAACAGCATCTCTCTCTCTGAAAACAATCCACAAAATTCTCATTGGTGACTTGAGATTGCTCTAGATCATATCCCTTCACTGACCCTTAGATTCTGAGGGGTGGATTAACCCCAGGGAAAGACAAGCACATTCATATTCATCCTTAAACATTTAGGATAATTCCCAAAATCCCTAAAAGTCAACTGTATTGCCTAATGAAATATCTACACTAAAGCAATAGCAATATTTTTTGCACATTATATTTAGTGCCATAGACTGACTAGTTTCACAAGCTTTTTTTTTTTTAAATGGGCATTTCTGAATTTTTTAGAATTGTTCACAGGATGACAACATGGTACTATCCACCTCAACTTCAGAATTTTGGGGCTTTTTTTGTTTGTTTTGTTTTGCCAAGATACTTATTCAATGAACCATTGGGCCTAGAAAAATACTACATATGAAAATACAGGCTGATTTAAGCTTCATTTAAAATTATCTTAAAATAATTTCAAATTTTGGAGGATCTGCTATAGCAGCACAAAAATTCTCATGTCTTTATTCAACAATTTTTAGTATTTTCCCACATTAACTTTATCAATCCCGTTCTCTATAGATACATTTTTTTTTTCTTGAGACAACTTTTGAGAATAATTCATGGGCACCATATCCTTTTACCCCAAAATACTTTTTCCAGGAAAAAGATACTTCTTTCACAAACCACAATTATCTAATTCAGAAAATTTAAAATTTTCTCTAATTGTTTCATTAATGTCCATTATAGCATTTTCCCCCTCCGTGATCCAAAACTTAATCCATGATCATGCACTACATTTTTTTAATCTTGGCTGCCTTCTGTTTTACTATTTCCAATATAGCATTATAACTTGTAAGCACACATAAAATTGGATTGGTTAGTATTGTCTTGGCCTGGAAAGAAACCTTAGTAATATACAAAGCTTATAGTTTCTGAGTTAGCAAGATCAGAGAAAAGAATACTGAATGAATTTGAAGAATACTTGAAGATTTGATGATTATCATCTTTCTGATAAGTCAACAAAGATAGTAAAAAAGACTGAAAAATAAGACTACTAACATGGCTAATTTAAAATAAAAGCTATATGTTCCCTTGGGAATACTAAGGCCTATCCCTTATATGTTTTATTGCAAAAATGCCCTCCTAATTTTACTTTATAGTTTACTTATTTGAAAATTTTTCCTTAATGAGATTCGGCTTATTCTGATGACATCAAGGGAAGCACTTTAATTTTTTTTTTAAGATTTATTTATTTATTTATACAAGCACTGGGTACAGTCAGAAGAAGTGCGGGATGGTGAGAGAATTCACCAGAACCAGAGCGGGGAACAGAACACACAGACTGATGAAATATACTGCTGAGCGGAGCAGTGGGCATGACAGGAGAGGTCTGCGTGCCATGCGGGACCCTCCCTGGGATCGAACTGGTGCTGCAGAGGCTGCAGGCAGCTTTGCAGCCCAGCGCTCAACCGCTGCTCCACCAGGGGAGGCCCGGAAGCACTTTAATTTTAATGAGTTACAAATTCCTAACTGCATGGAAACCATTTAAAAACTTTCAAAGTTCAATTATGGTAGAAAGAGTTTGGTCTCTGCATGAAAAAAGGTGCTAAATTCTGGTTCTATCACTCACTAGTAGTATTATCTTAGGTCAATTATTAAACTTTTTTTCATTTAGCAATCATTCAACAGATACTGATGTCTTGCTATTTGTGAAGCAACACAATGTTTTACATAATCACATGGACCCATGGAGCCCAGCAATATGGCTTCAAATTTCTATTCTGTACTCTCTAACCTTGGAATTTGGGACAAGATTCTCAACCTTTCTAAATACCAGTTTTTATCTATGCAAAAAAATTAACAATAGTACTTATCTAATTAGGTTATTCTATTAATAAGGTTTGTGAAATGTTTAGCAGAGCTCCTACAATATAACAAGTGTCCAATATAGGCTGTTTTTCTACTGAAGAATGTTTTGCATTAATAACAATATCATCAATAACACCAGTTTCTTTAGACACTAAAGAAAATATCTT